ACGTCGTTTGAAGACATTTAAATGAAACCTTATTTTAAGATCTTAAATTTGTATTCACAGTTTTAAAATAACCTTAACATTGATATGCAGACCATTAGGTTACGCCTATATTTATCAATTGGACAATGTTGTTTGAACATTAACAATGAGGCAGTATAGAAATTTCCCTTTTCGATGTTTAACCCTAAAAAGCAATATTGAATGATAAACACACTAAGTCTTGTTTTTCTTATTATTATAAAGGAATGGACACTAATAATGATAGATAAGATTGCACATACTGATCAAAACTTGTTTTGATTAGTATATTATTGGTACGTGTAAACAATCCAGTTTGAGAAGCATGGATAACATTTTCGTTCAAATTGGATTTCGAATTAAATTTCACTTATTACATGTTGCTGAGAGTATTCCGAGAAGAGCGGTACCATATGTCATTTGTCGTGTTGTTATCTGTAATTCCTTTTGTGCCTTTTGACTGATTTTTACAATTTGTCTTTTGTTGTACTCTTCAAGTCTAGGGAATAAACGCCTAAAACATAATTCTATATCCGCGGATGACCAGCTAGGAGCTTTTTACAGGTTTGTTGTTGGTTGTTGTACATCATGATAGTTGTTGGTTCATTTGTATTAAAAGTAGTTTAAACCAGTCCATTTGTTTTGTCATTTGATTTGTTTCAAATATTGTTAACCCGGTAATAAAGCTTTCTATACATCATTGAGTTTGCTTTTTTGTTTGAAGACTTAAGTTAAATAAAGAGAATTGCAAATAAACTGGCAACTCCATGGTTAAAAAGAAAAAGACAACAATACAAACAACACTAAACAAGATACATCATAGTAAAACTAAAAACTGAACAAAACGAACATCGTAAAATCTGGGGGTGATGACAGTTACATTTTTTTCCAGAAGGGAAGGCAGGGTTAACCCATTTGTATCTGTATGTACTTAATTAGTACTTGTTCTATTGCCAATTGTTCCGAATCTTTTTCTTTTAATTCATACTGGTCATTTTTTTTGTAAAACCTAGGTAAATTTCAAGATCACGGAGAAACCATTGTTGGAAGGTTACAACGATTGCCTTTACTGTTTTGGATAGATGTTGTACTAAGAATTTATTCCGCTCAAAACACTACAACACTACACTTATGCACAAGTTCGTAAAATTATCAAGTATTTTTTATAAAAGATTTGAACATGACATATATATAATGTTGGAACCCTAACTAAAACACAAACAACACTACACGAGACACATCATAGGTAAACTTAAAACACATGGTCTATAGACAGCTTTATTATTTGTAGAGCTTAGGTGATCGAGTGGTCTAGCGCAGCGGTACAAGGCAATTTGGTGGCACGATATCTCAGTAGCATGACCTCGAATCTCGTCCAGGGAAGAACAAAACATTTGCTTCCACAAATTTACAGATCTTAAATTGTTGGGCTGTTGTTTTGACAATTTATATATTTGTTTACGACATTTAAAGGATGACCCGTAACTGTATAATCTCCATGCGTATTTGTATTCCATTTGTATAACCATGACACATTTTATATGTGCCTGCTATCACATTTGTTAAAACTATGTTCAAAAGTACATGCTAAACAATAATTATTATAATACATTTGTAGTAAAGTTTTTATTTCATGAAACTAATTAATAATTAATCAGAGACTATTTTACTTTTGTAGTATTGGCAATTGTTGTTATTTTGCTTTTGGTGAACAATGGACTACTTGGGCAAATATACGAGTGTTTGGTTTGCTTTTTATTCATGATAGACATGTGTCCATCTTCGGAGAACCATATCTGGACTATACTGATAAGTTTGAGGTCGATATATCGATCATTATTCACATTAACACAATACACATCTCATTTACTGTTGTATGACCTACTAGGAGTTACCTTTTTAATCAGTGCTACCTGTTTTAAAATAATCAGCTTGACATCTAAATTGTGCATTTATTCCCACAAGACTAGTAATTATTGGAATTTGTTTGAAGGCAATCAATACTTATATAGATCCATCGAACGGCAAAGTAGTTATTATGTTGTTTTGTAAAGATAGAAGGCAAACATTTTGTTATTCCCCCAAATAATGACCAAGTTGAAAAATTGATTCTAAAAACGTAAATATATGGTTTTGTTTACACATCTAAGATAATGCAATCAATCACCTATTTTTCTTTATACAGATAAGCAGACTTGCATATTTATTGCAAATCTGTCTCAAAATTTAAAGACGTAGGCAATGAATAAGACCGATTGTGTACTGCTATTGTACAATACAAGATGGCGGTGTACAGCAAATCAACTATTAAATTTCAAACTTTAAATGCAATTATGTGTTGTAATCTCTTATTCTCGATTAATTAATTAACGAATTCACAACTCATACAAACTTAAAAGAATATGTCAATTTTAATGAGTTATCTCTTTCCAATCTATATGGTTAACTACATATGAATAAGTTCTATTTAACAGGCGTCGTTTGAAGACATTTAAATGAAACCTTATTTTAAGATCTTACATTTGTATTCACAGTTTTAAAATAACCTTAATATTGATATGCAGACCATTACGTTACGCCTATATTTATACATCTCATTTACTGTTGTATGACCTACTAGGAGTTACCTTTTTAATCAGTGCTACCTGTTTTAAAATAATCAGCTTGACATCTAAATTGTGCATTTATTCCCACAAGACTAGTAATTATTGGAATTTGTTTGAAGGCAATCAATACTTATATAGATCCATCGAACGGCAAAGTAGTTATTATGTTGTTTTGTAAAGATAGAAGGCAAACATTGTGTTATTCCCCCAAATAATGACCAAGTTGAAAAATTGATTCTAAAAACGTAAATATTTGATTTTGTTTACACATCTAAGATAATGCAATCAATCACCTATTTTTACTTATATAGATCCATCAAACGGCAAAGTAGTTATTATGTTGTTTTGTATCATTTGGCATTAATCATTATAACATATTATGTATTAAGCTTACACTTAAAAATTCATCTAATTTTACTTCAAATATACCTCAGGATATACTGGCAGGAAATGTTTTCGTATTACTTCCTTATGCAATCGTGCTGGCAATTTCGAGTCACATAGTTTTATACAGCAAAACATTTTCCAAGCTGGAACTATTTTTATGAAAACTATCCACATAATGTGTATGACCAGTATAGGCACGATTGCCTTTATAACAATGAGTATTTACATCTGTTGTATTTTTCCAAAAAGAACGTTATGGTTTTTACTTGGGCGAAACTAGGACATTTATACCTCATAACTCTTAACGCCTGCCTTTGAGTATCTTAGCAATCCAGTCACTTCACAGTTATGTAAAATTCCATGGTATGATGATGTGTTTGGGATTGTTCTTGTTGCTAGTACTGTTCTAGAAGAAGTACATACAATTGCTAATTCGTTTTTACTGGAACTTTGAGCATCGGGAGCCGGAATGTCAAAAATAACGTAATTAATGATATTCCCTTTTGAAATTGTAAAATTTTATCAATTTGGATTTGATTTAGGCGTAGAATGGTTTCTTGAAGCTACTTCATCTTGGATATCTGTGTCCATTGAATCAGTAGGGTTTCTGTCAGTTTATTTCATGTTGGTATTGGTTAGTTTTAGATCTGAACAAATTCAAAAGTTGAATGAAAGTATGTATGGCGTCCGTGCTACCATCAGCATAGTTAATATAACGTGTGTACTTCTTGAAATATGCAATCTAACTTGGAATATAACCACCGTCAAATGGAGCTTTATTATACGTATCATATTAGCAGAACTCATTCACCATACTTATGAGCGAGGAACAAACGGATGGAACGAATTTCAAAAGCGCCGAACTGCAGTTCAAAGACTGTCATTCCTACCAAATGCATTTCAAGAACAGTTACGTGTTTTCAACGATGGTTGTGCCTTCTGCCTTCGCAATATGACGTGCGCTTAGATTAAAAAGTGTTTATACTTAATATAAACTTATTATATGTGCAATGCCATCATTATTACTGATTGGTTTGTTCAAAGGTTGTTAAGAACTTTGTTGAATGAACAAAAACTTAACATTCCTGTGCCTATGAACACTTGAAGAGGCATCAATAAATTGGAAATTTGAAAACTTTTATTTTTTATTGTTTATATATTTTGTTAGTATGCGATGAAGATATAGATAGCATCACATTGATATTGACCAATACACAATGATTCATAACTTAACGTTGACTAGATAGGAAATATGTCTATTTAAGGAAAATTCCGTTCTTACGCTCTCTTCATGACGTCACAAATATCTTTTTAGGAACATTGGTACGTGGCTGTTGTTTTTAAGGCGTCGGACATATATATATCGCGTGAGTCGACAAAATATGTTTTAATATAATGTGTGTTATGACATTTTAACTATCTGTTTTATATTATGAATTTGTTTTAGACCATGCTTTGTGTTTCCTCGGTCTATATTTGGATAAAATTATTAAAGTTTTACAAAATGTTAACTTGTGGGTGGTAATTGTTTACGTTTTATAAGAATAGGTGTATAAAATAAAGTTTTATTTTCAAGTTTGAAACAGTTTTAGTGTTTGATTTAATTTTCGGAACCAGGTATGACCCGTTGCTTACTCCGATCCTTATATTGTGGAATTGTACCTCTTTTATTGTAAAACATTGAAAAATTTAAAAAAAACTGGGATTTCAGGATCTCATTGACAATTGGCCATTCTAATGTTAATACGCAAAAAAGAAAACAAAAAAAAGACTCAGTGTAATATCAATTAAACACACGGACATGTATGTTAATTTAGCAAAAAACCTATTGATGATGATTGTCACGTTTTGTTGATTTGAAAAAAGAATACGCATAAAGTAGAATTAAGAAACATGTATTTACAATAACAATTCATTAAAATAATCCCGATGCATGCCAGAATACGATGTCTTTGTCAAAGTTACATATAATAGATTGTGTAAGTACCATTACAAAATGCATACTTTAATTGTTACATCCACATTTCTTTATAAAATTGGGAGCCATCAATTTGAACTCTTCAATGGTCACTTAACCATCAACTGAAAAATAGAAGAAAACAAAATAACCAGATAATAACAATTATTTTTGTATTACATAAAATACATTCAATTTAATACCGTTTTAACGCCAATTAGTGGAGAAGAAGGGAATCAGTGAAATAGTAAAATTAAAGCAAAGCTATAAGCTCAAGAAGCTTAATGACTGGAACTGTAACATTTTTTTGTGTGTGGCTTTTTGATAATCATTTTTTAAACCTATTAATTCTGGATATCAATCCTCGTATGTATGCCTGGCAAACCAGCGACAAAAACAGCATAAACAATATAGAAGGCATTTATAGATATGTTTGGTAGAAGAAAGTATAACGCTACAGTAATTCTAAGATATAAAGGGAAATAATCAACGTTTTAATGATTGTTAAAAAAATCTTAAAAAAAACAAATAAATGAGAAAATCGGATTAAAATGAAAAAAAGTGAAAAATACAAAAAATTACCCATGCTGCAGATCTCTTTTGAAACTTCCCTTTGATGCCTATGTTCACACCTGCATTTCCCCGACTGTTTCCATAAACTGACCCTCCAAATTCGAAGTTTTCTTGTGTATGGGAAATTCCAAGATCTAACCTTAGTCCACTATCTTCATTTTTGGTCAGACTTCCTGTTACTGCGGTTTCCTTATTTTGGACAATAGTAAGACTTGCACAAAAAGCTGACAATACAAGGAAGCAACTCAGTGTTATGTCCTAAAAGGATAAATATTTATAGACATTATTTGACTGACTAGAAACCAACAACACATTAGTTTTCTCTTATCATTACTTCAATATGTCATTAACAGTTTTCTTTAATCATAATTTCAATATGTCATTAACAGTTTTCTTTTATCATAACTTCAATATGTCATTAACAGCTAATAACTATAAAAATAGTATGCTTGTTTAAATTAATTACAAAAAATGTCTTGCTATCATTTGATCAACAAATTACATCACTATTCGTATCGAATTTATCCACCATCTGTTTGTTAATCGAAAGGTCACAATAGGTCTCGCTCAATAGACAAGTGATCATAACTTTACATGATTCAAAATATGAATTTGTTCGTTTATTATGTTTTGCTGTTTTAACACTAGTATTTCACTCATGAAAGTTTAAAGTCAATTAATCGAAGTGTGCCAAACATATGCAATTTTCAAATACTCTTTACATTATTTCCTACATATGCAATATAATACCTAAGCTGTTTGGCAAAACCATACGGAATTTTGGGCCCTCAACGCTCTTCATCTTCGTGTTGTATTTGTTATTTTAATGATTGTTTTTTTGGAATCGAGCGTCGATGGTTAGTTTTGGCGTCTGGCGTACTACTGTTTAAGCTTTCTATCTATGATAAGCTTTTCCCCCAACAATGCATTTTTTCTCAAAATATGTAATGATTTTTTTTACCTGTTTTATTGTCGTCTTTTAGTACATACCATTAAGAATGAACATCATGCTCCAATTTCTTCATGGATTTAAACTTTATCATAAACTGTCAAAATCAAAAGTATAATAGCGCGAATGCATCAACTCTGAACAATTGTATGACCAAAATAAACTAAATCATTCATAAAAACTATCTACTTTGTAAACTTCATCATGTGAACCAAAATACCTACCATTTTGCTGAGTACATGCAGTTTCCACTGAGAAGCCGAATTTATAATTCAAATCACATCTTTCTATTTATATAGTGTACCGGATTCTGCAACTTTACAAAAACCAGATTTGCGGCAAATTTTTCTTTTGTTAAATTAATGTCACTCTTGTGGTAAAAAAAAAATTAAAAACTGCATTTTGGAAGGTTGTTTGATACATGTAAGACAGTTTGACCACATAACACGAAGAGGAATTTTGACAATGTTAATGTGTTTCATTTGTATATGACATATACACATCTGAAAGAATAATTAAGTACAATGTGTCGGTGTATCCCATATCACATATGCAAAAAAAACATGTTGTTATTCAGAAATTTGTGTAACTATTTACGTGTGTCGAATATGACATTAGTTTGTAAACAAAATGCCGTGAGAACCTAACTATCTATTTCATCTTGGAATTGCCTGTTTGTCCTTAAAAAGGATCTTTTCTTGAAATTATAATTTACAAACATATTTGTAAAGTGTACATTGGCATTTGATTTATATAATATGATTAACATTTATCATTACCGCATTTCATCTTGAGAAAAGACATATAAAACGAGTTGTTTATTAATCTATGTAACCGCTATTAATTGTTTTGTATGTATTAAATACAAAACAAAATTATTGGTCTACAAATATGAATTCATTTGAGTTAAATCAAATGATTATCAAAAGACACACGTGTAGTAGTTTACTCTGTTTGTAAGCCGTAACAAAGAAGAAGATAATAATAATGTTAATATCAATGGTACATGTCTTATGTCTTAGCATAATTCAATGCTATACTTAAGTCCAATACAACCAGTGAATGTCTTTACAAAGAAACGGGTGCAAAAGGTTGAGCTAGACATACAGAAACGTTCAACAGTACATTAGTAGTGAAATAACAAAAATACTGAACTCGAAGGAAAATGAGATTGTTATTATAATCTTTAAGTTGATCAGTTTTTAATGTTCTTTTGTTTGTTTGTAAGGTATTCTTGTCACGTAGTGTTGTCTTTTTAGCGGTATTTTTAACATTGACATATAAGCGGGAAGTTTGGCTATCCAAAAAACCCATCATTTTTTCTTAAAATGTCCTGTACCAAGTCAAGGGTATGGCAGTTGTTATCAAAAAGTCCGTTTTTATGTACATTGGTGTTTGGTTAGGTTGTAAGTCAGTGTTTCTGTTGTTCCGTTGTTGTCCTCTTATAGGTGATATGTTTCACTCTGTTTTTGGACTGTTACTCATCATTTGTTTTCTCTTAATCGAAAACAAAAATGAGTCTGGAAGCTTTGTTGAACAGCTACGTGTGCTATTGTTTGTTTTCTCTACGATTGCTATTACACCATATTATTGAAAAGTAAAATATCATGTTTTTTTAGCAGGTAAGTGATTTATGGTTTTGCCAGTAGCAAATCTATAGATGTATACATTCTAAGATCGTTTTTTTGAAAGGAAAACATAAAAGTAGTATTTGTTATCTTCAGTAGGTTTGCTGATATGTTCGTCAAGTATCATCTCTTTTTACTGAACTCATTACTTCTTTTAATTTGATGAGTGACACACAGTTCTCAATGAGCCTCATCTTCGTTCTTTGTTTTGCCGTTTTATCTTTTTAACTTTTTAATTTGAGTGTCACTGATGAGTCTTTTGTAGACCATATGGCAAAATCAAAGGTACTTTATTTAAATCATTTGCACCACGTGACTTTGTCCCTTTTGATCAAATTACTTCCCTTAGCTTAAGATTGAAAATATAATTTATTATAGATTTGCGGATAATCCAGTTCTTTTCCGTCATGTATCTAAAACTAATGTATCTTTAAAAACTTCCTTTGGCGGATATTTACAAAAATGCTGTGTAATTCTAAGGGAAAATGCTTAAAATTTGACTTTTTACGCAATGAGAAGGTTGAAATCATCATGTTTTTAAAAGAATTTGGCCGAAAACTTAAGAAAGCAGGTAAGTTAAAAGTTATTTAACTTTAAAATTCAACCTACAAGGTGTTTCCCTATATGCGAACAAATTATGAACAATATCTTCTTGCATGTGTATTTCTGTTTTGAATCTTGCTATTTTACGATTTTACGTCATTTTATTTGATCTTATATAGCAATTACACAATGGTTACGCTTCCGATTTTTAAACTAAAAAGGCCGAAAGATTTCAGAGTAGACAATGTCCATTTATACACGGACAGAAGCCTAAAAACATGTACAATTCACCTATATGCGAACAAATTGTTCATTCGACATAGGTATTTGCATATTGGCATTTTTATTAAAAGGGCTTATATAACCCTATTGTTATGGCTGCTGTCATGATAAGGCAAAATGGCCGCTATGCAAATTAGCAAATTACCCCAAATTTTTCCATATGCGCAACGCGCGTCTGGCGCAAATACAAAATTATAATCCTGGTATTGATGATGAATTTATTTGCAACCACTGGGTCGATGCCATTGCTGGGGGAGGTTTTTATTCCCCTATGGTATCACCAGCCCAGTAGTCAGCACTTCTGCGTTGACATGAATTATCATTGATATGGTCATACTTATAAATTAACTTTACAAAACAAGAACTTTTGAAATACAAAGGCTTTTCTACCTCAGGAATAGATTACCTTAGCTGTATTTGGCAACACTTAGGAACTTTTGGTCCTCAATGCTCAGTAACTTAGGACTTTGTTTGGCCTTTTTAACTCTTTTTATTCGAGCGTCACTGATGAGTCTTGTGTAGACGAAATGCGCGTCTGGCGCAAATATATTATAATCCTGGTATCTATGATGAGTTTATTCTTTTGATTATTTTCTGTAAAAAGCTCAGGAATTCATCCAATCTCTGTTGCGCTGCATATCGATTAACAAAAGTAAATTAGAAAATGTTGACAAAATCATATGGTACAGGTAAAAGATATTCAACTATTCGTTATGTTATCGTTTACGTCCCTGATGTTAAACATGTTAAAACCTGGTAGTGGTATTGCATATACACAAAAATTAAATATCAGCAGGTTCGTTTGGTAAGTTAACTGTTATATATGACAACATTCATTTAAGATATGGAGTGCGATATGTTCGATTTAAAATTGACAGAAAAAAGAACAGTTTTTGGCAGAGATTGTTATTAAAAGAAACATAAATTGCATGACTATAAACTTTGTTATAATTATAACTGATTCGGAGATAAGAATCGCTCTTATATGCGTTATATCGTTCTAAATCAGAATAACATTTATTTACTAGTTTTGTTAGTGATTGTTGATTAATTAAACACTGGGAAATCTCAGAAGCCGTTTTTTATCGATCATGTCATTCCCTGACTACTTAGTTGATAATATCCGTGGGGACTTTCTGTTCTCCACCAAAAGTATCGACCCAGTACTAGTAAATAAGAATAAAAAGTAAAATTACAAAAAAAAAAAACTCCGAGGAAAATTCAAAACGGAAAGTCCCTAATCAAATGGCAAAATCAAGAGCTCAAACACATCAAACGAATGGGTAACAACTGTCATATTCCTGACCTGGTACAGACATTTTTCTTATGTAGAAAATGGTGGATTGATATGATAGATTGTGCTTTTATAGCTAGCTAAACCTCTCACTTGTATGACAGTTGCATCAAATTCCATTATATTGACAACGATGCGTGAACAAAACAAACAGACATATTAAGTAAAAATGTTAAAAATACAGCAGTCAACATTGTGTTATAATAATCTTAATCACAAAAAAAAACAAAAAAAAACAAAAAAATATGTAACAAAGAAGCACTAAATGGCATATAGACCAAACATATTAGCAAAAAATAAAGACAAGAAAACACAATTTTACCATAATACAAAAACACAATGACGGGATGTTTAAGTACAGAGCCACGTCATATATGTAACGCAGAAACATTTAAAGGCATATAGACAAAGCACATAGCAAAAATGAACAACATGCAATAGACCTATTTATTGGGTACCTTCATACGCGTTATTCGAAAGTGGCTTTCTTTTAATGGCAATAATACAGTTACAAAACAGGTACATAATGCAACAACTTGACTTTCGACTAATTTAGATGTACAGCACAGCTCTTTCTAACAAAACTATACAAATAAATGTGTATATTTTGCATTCGTCTGTTCTATCAATAGCAAACATTTTGTTGTATGATGCTTGTGTTTCATGTAGTGTTGGCATAAATGTTTGATAAAAATCCTAATATGCGTTTTGCAGTCGTTTCAATGACCAGACATTTAAAAAGTCAACAAGCATTTCGTAACATTAACTTGTTCGTAAAGTTTTTTAAAAGTTCATGATTTTTGTTAATGGTAGTATACAGTAAAATCACAAAAATACTGAACTCCGAGTATACGAATCATTTATTATGGCTTGTTCTTATGTATTATATTTGTTGTTTGTTCATTTTTTGGACATGAATTAGGCCGTATAATAGTTTATTGGATTGTTGTTCACATTTGTCATTTCGAAGACTGTTATAGCTGACTATGCGATTGGTGTGTTGCTTCTTGTTGTAGGATGTACGATGACTGATGGTTGTTAACTTCTATGCCATTTTGGCCTGTTGTGGAGAGTTGTCGTATTGGCAATCATTCTATGTCTTCATATATTCAAATCCACCTTTGAAGATTCATTCGTCTATGAAAGTGTTTTGAAGTAGCTAATATTTTCCATTTTAATCGAGTGGGTAGAAATAATCGACCCCTTCTGTTGAAGAATCAAGTGCTACATTATGCTAGTCAAGAACAAAACTGAAATTGTTGCATTAACTTTTGTAGATGGAGATACCAAACATCAAAACAATAAGCCGTTTCATAATCTAGTGCATTATTCGTAATATTTACAATAGCGCACATTAAAACGTGTTGATTGGTTATAGACTTCTTAAAAACTTAATAATTGGAGTGAAATAATATTGCTTTCGGGGTACAAATAATACAATTAAGGATAGTCTTTTAGATTCGGAAACGGCAAATTGATTCAAGCATTACAAGCACCTTATATGCAGTCGATTTACAACATTAGCAAAATGTACTCACGACAAATTATTTCATACATTCACTTTGTCATTTTGAATAGCTACACACTGTGTAATCAATACACAAAGTTACAACGAAGGCGAAGAGCGAACCCCCATTTCCGTTTAATACCATCAGTTCATTACTGAAAATCAAAACGCTGAAATACAGATCAATAAAAGAAAGAGAAATATCAAAATTTTATTTATAATATGCAAAATCTATGAACAAACATATGCGACAAAAAGAATAACAAAACAATATAACTCAGCATAGTATGTCCTTTAACTATTTAACAGAATGTACAAATTCATGACATTAAAATCTACAAATTGTTCCATTCTTCTATCTTGAGATAAACTAGCGTTTATAACATATATAAAACAAATATAACATAAAAAAGTCACGTAAAAATATTAATAAACAATAGCATGATTCTAAATAGTAGGTACAATCGATTTGAGCATTTTAGCTAAGGTACCGGATAACAATTCCCAGTTCGTTTTGCATGCACACTTCAGGGATTATAATTCGAAACAAAATACTACAGAAATAAATAACAGAGGTCTAATTCATTTTTGTGTCTAAGCATTTTCTGAATCTAAATGATTGTCACCAATGTTAGTGTCTGAGTCAGGAATATGGCTTGGCCGATGGAATACTTTTCTTGATTCAGGCAAAGGGTTTGAACTATCCATTATTCTTGCTTTAATTTTGTCTTTGACTTTTACTGACAATACTGCATGAGTTATCTATAAAATAAAGCAAATGGTAACATAGAATATTAGAACAATAATCTACTTCAGAATCGTGTTTAAAAGTCAAATAATTGTCGGTTTTTCAAAACATGTTTCTTTGTTATGCCAAAGGTCAACTCTGAACCGTTGGCACCAGTAACTTCACAAACAATTTTTAATTGTAAGTCAATACGATCGAAAGAGCATATGAAAAATTCAGATTTGAAAGATCAAGCTCAAAGTATGATACAAATAGAACCTTATTGGGCTTTATGTAATGGTGCCAAAATGAGTATTTTAGAGCCAGCTGACTGGTCTACAGATACAACTTTTATCAAGATTTATTTTTAAAATGTGGCTGTTAAAGTGTTTTCCTAATATGTATATAAAACATTGATTGTATACATTAAAAAATCTCATTGTTGCTGTGATATGCAGTTCGATTGAAAAAACAATAAGAAAACAAACCATTGTTAATATTGAATAGTGTACAGAAGTTTTTGTTTAGAATGAACAAGTAATATGAAGTAAAGATTATACCAAGCATAAAGAGTTGCAGAGCCATATAAACTTACTATGCCACCAAAGTGATTAGGCTTTGCAATTTATCCGTATGTATATTTGTCAGGTAGAAAGAAAAAAAAATGAATGATATGAAATTCTAAATTTGTTTCCAATTGCATATTTTATAAATGAAGTTTTCTACTTACCACCTGATAATTTTTTTAACCCTGCCTCCTCCCTCTAAATTTTCTATAGTCAAAATAATGTTTACAAAAAAAGAAATAAAAGAAAACTGTGGATACAATTAAAGTAAAGCATGCAGATGACGTAGTGCCGGTTGTAATTATCTTCATCATCTAGATGTTTTATTTTAATTGCAAAGTATGGACTTGTAAGGAAAGTAAAGTCCGTATGTATTTCGCAAGTGGTGAGTAGAAAACATCATTCTTAAAATCTGTATTTGAAAACAATTTTTCATTCAAATTTATGTTGTACTACGCATATATTGAATAAGCACCAACCTGCATTAACATTTCAATAATCAGTACACTAAGTAGCACTCCGACTATGTAATTCATTTCAGGGCACGACTGAAATGATAATCGAAAAATAATTTACATTAAAGACAAATATGTTTGTTTTAGGTATTAAAACAGTCAAAAAGAAAATAGAATTTCTTGTTTCTGTTTTATTTCATAGGATATTATATTAACATGATACAAATGAATTTGACAATTTAAAATTTTGATATATATGGAAAAACGTCCGTATTTTTCTATGCGGTATCGGTCTTATTTATTGTTAAGGACGAACGATAAAATACAGTTGTTAATTTCTACGTAATTTTGTCTCTGACTTAGAGTAAGAATTATATACAACATTTTATTATTGTTATATAACTAGGTGTTTTAGATAGTTTTCTGTGATTCATGAGAATCAATTATCTGACCTTTGTTTTGACCAATCATGCGTTATTTGCCTTTGAGAAGAGTTTCAACTTTCTAAATAGTTTACATGAATTTGAAGAAATCACCCTTACTATAATTAAATGTTTGAAAGCATCACATTGCAATACGTTTTCAAGGTGAGAGGGTTTTTGTACTCGGAAATATTGACTGATGTCATACTTTAGAGGCCGCACTATCTTTTTTGAAAATATTCGATGTCTTAAGTATATAGTTTGTATTTTTTTTTTTTACATACTTTGTTTTATCTTTCGCTTTTTTTTTTTAACTTTTTGCGTCAAAATTGAATTTTTGTTTTATTAATTCTTAAAAGTTCCGGGAAAAAACTGTTAAGGATGTCAATTTGCATATTTCCGTTACCATCATCTTAAACAGTATTCACAAATATGAAAACAACACGTTACAAATTTACTGAGTCTGTAGCGGTTTTCTGGATTTACCTTTGTCAGGCAAGCTCAAAGCCAAATATTTGGAAGCCGAGAATGTATGACATAAACAATATTGAAATATAGTCATTTATCCAATGCAGAAGTTATGAAAAAACTATTTCATTTTCGAATTTTTAGCCATTTGGTTCACAAAAACCATCAATGAAAAACACTTTCTTATTTGTCATGATTTGATTTTGTGACTGGATATAAAACAAAAGTTATATGATACATACATGAATACTACCATCTGTAGTATAGGTACAACTGTTTTCCTAAAATACAAGATTAAATGATAAAATTCAATCCATTGTCTTAAGTTTTGTGCCCGTTCAATTCACAACACTGAATGTAATCATTTGTCTATGAATTTAAAATATAATCATCAAGATGATATTGCAAATTAACTCATCATAGATACCAGAATTAGATTTTGTATTTACACCAGACGCGCGTTTCGTCTTCAAAAGACTCATCAGTGACGCTCGAATAAAAAAGCAATATATTTGTACATATCTTTATTTAAAAATGTCACTGTTTATTTGTATTTGGTTTATTCATTTTTATACAAAAATTACAAAAATCCTACTCTTGTCAAAGTCAGGTTGTGCCTTATGTTCATGTACGACAGTTTTAAACTAGATTGGTTGTGATTTATTAACACAATTGATGGTATACACTATTAAATTTTCAATTTTTCCATAAGGATCAGACAATTTTCTACGCCATTTTAGCCTAAATTCGATCTAAACAAATGTGACAATACTTTGAATACAAACAAGTGATACACATTTAAGAATAATAAAACTATGTTTATGTGTTTGCTTTTGTTTTTGTTACTGTCCATCTTTGTTGATTTTTGTTGCTATCTTGTTTAACACAATGTGCATACAAGTATATATACTGAATCTCAATGTTGATAGTTTAATTCACCATCTCAGAATCTAAAGGATTAGGGGTAATAAAAATGAAAATAACGTTTCGTCATTGGTTGAATTCCAATTGAATAGAACTTTTTCAACCAATCAAAACGTTTTGGTATACGCTTTTGAAAATTTTGCCAAGAATGCATTAGATTCTGAAACGGCGAATTAAAATGAGGCTGAGTTTTTAATTTAATACTTACAGCAGAAAGGAGAATCGATGTCAGAATAACAAATATAAAGGTCACAACGGAAGCTACTATCGTCAGTATTAAATTCTGAAAAATGACAAACTTATTAACGTACATCTATGACTTTTAAGTTAGTACAAAAGGTTTTGACGAAAATAGACGTTCGATTTCTTTTCGTTGATATAGTAAACTTTTCAAACAAAACTAAGAAATACTCGTCGTCCTTTTTAAATTCACTATTTAGTTTTTTGCTTTTTCAACACCTTTCTTATAAAATGAAATAAAAAACATACCTGAATTAAAAATAATCACATTTGTTTGAATAAGCATGGCGCATTCCTATTTTAAAGTCTCGCTTTTTTTGGGGGGTTTAATATTTTTTTTTTTCAAAATTTTAACTTCAATTAATAAGAATATTAAGCTTTGTCAGATATATATCATCATTTGTTTTTGACCAGTACAAAAAAATTTTACCTTTTCTTTAAGAATAACGCTAATATAAAAAAGTTGTCATTATCCAAAATTGGATTAACTGTGTTCTTGTTCGAATTAGAAACGATGTTACCTTAGTCGATTTATGTTCAAATTGTATTTCCTGTCTTTCACTTACGATATAAAGTATTTTCGTCTGTTTTATTGAGATTGCTATTAGTCCAACGAATCGGTTAATCGAAATGATAGGTATGATTACAATGGAACCTATAGACAAGAATTTGTAGAACACTTCAAGGTCCAATGAAGACATTATGTACTGGTTACTTAGACCTTCTGTTATCCATTTTCTGTCTATCACGTGTGAAAGCCCATATACGGCGTTCAGTACAATGAACGGTATTTCAATCATCTAAAAAATACAAGAGAATACTTGCAATTTTTCATTTGAAAACAGTTGGACTATCAATAACCTTATTTATCACATATTTGTTAAAAAAACATTGAATTTTGCATATGTGATTACCGCAGAATTGTCAGATTCATATTGCTGCCCGGGCCAAAATGTGGTGATTGATTATTGTGCCATGATTCCAAATGACATGACGTCATTTTGTCGTTAACAACAATGGCAAACAACAACGGTACTCAATTCATCTCAGTGAAGTAAAGCGACACAACTATGTAGAGCAAATGAAAGACCCTAACACAAGGAAATAACTAAAAGTGACATTAACATTCAAAAGAAGTGGTTAAAAAGTGCTGGAGATGATATTTCTTGAAGAATTGAACATTTGTTTTGAAGATTTTTTAGATCTTACCTGTTGTGGTAAATTGAATATTAAATTTGATAATTTTTCTCTTTTCTTTTGATCTTAAATATGTGATAAATAGATTATAACATGTCTTATTATATTAGCCCCGGTTACGTAGGTTGATATGAGAGTCTCGGGGTGATTCCAGGTTCAATATGAAAAAAGGCATGTTATTATCATAAATACATCGACCATCCGGTCAAATATAATACCGAGATGCTTAGAAAACGGTGGATACGTTTGTTTATATGGTGCTCAAGTCACCGTTTGGACGTCTAAGGATATTGTTATTTAGGACAGGGTTAGTTTTTGGTAATAAAGCTTGTCGACAGGTTGAAGGTATTCATAAGGTCACCAATAGCGCCTCTTTAATAGCAATCTTACTTATTAATGTACTGTTATGAATCACAGTGTATGGCCAAACTCAGACTTTGATGATATCTTTTCGTTTAATATTTCTTACTATACTGCCAAAATTCAATAATTTTGATTGTTTTCAATAGAGCAAACAGCAACGGTGATAACTTTCCTTTACTAGATCTAGATATTTTATTTTTACACGGAAACTCTACACTTAAATATACGACAAAGAGGACAATGTTTCATTTCCTATTGATTAATTTCCCTTTTTTGGACTATGATGTTCTTTTCGCACCATCCTACGGTATTTGTTTTTCACCACTTGTTCGCTATGTCCTCGTGGTTTTTTCTTACCGTTAATGACGTCATTATACTAAATTCTTACGTTGAACGGTGCTGACAGATATTTTACTCTTAGATGGAATTGAGAATTGAAATAGGGAATGTATTAAAGAGACAACAACCCGACCATAGAGCAGAAAACAGCCATCGATGGGTCACAACACAGCGAGAACATTCCACACTCGGAGGCAGGCTTCACCAGGGCCCAAAAAAAAAATGTGTACTAGTTTAGTGAAAAAAAAACTCATACTAAACTCCAAAACATATAGATTAACTGAAATTAAAAATCATACAATATTTACATAAGCAGGAAGCATGGTTTGTTTTTATTAGTTGTTATTGGCTTTGAAGTAGCCGTAATGAACTGTGAGTACTCTCAAATCTGTCCTGTTTTGTTGTGGGGACATATACACACCCTGTCATTTTCACTTGTGTTTTTTTTTTATGTGTATTTCTGATTTATATCTATCTGATAAATTAAGCACTTTATGCTGATTTTAAACTTTATTTTGTATTCGTTTTTCGTTCATTATTATGCTCATGCATCAGGCCGTTAGTTGAACTGTTTTACATTTGTCATTTCGGTTCCGTGTAAAGCTGACTAAGGTATGGGTTAAACTTATTGTCGAAGGCCGTGCGGTGACCTATAGTTGTTAATGTCTGTGTCATCGGGTCTCTAGTGGAGAATTGTCTCAATGGCAATCATACCAACTATGTTTATTTTTATTTGCTGACTGTTATTCACCAGGGATTTCATCAGCACTTTTCCAGTACTTCACTTTTAAGAACTAGGTTGGGTAAAAATCACCGTAGATATAGGAATGTATGTTTTTCGTATACACCTCTTATTTTTGTCATGGTTTTTGCTCCCTTTTGATGTCATAAGATTGTGTATGAGGTGTTCGATTTAAATTATTCCTGACAATATTATACTGAAGAAAAATTACTTGATAAAATACACATCTAGTATATACTGTTCACATTAATGTTGAAATGCTATGAGGTGATTTATAACGTACTTCAAAATGACCGTATGTTAGAAAACCCAATTCCCTTAAGGATGTACTTAGGTGAGGGTTTGGAATTTGTGTCAGATGTTCGGAATCCTTGGTGTTTTTCCATACGATACAAGGTTAAATATTTTGCCCCATAACAACTATTTATCTTTTAATATAAGACTTAGTAGCTCATAAAAGGTCATTTGACAAAATTTAAGCAGATTTTTTATTTTCTTTTGTTTGATTTGAGACCCAAATAAAACCAATGAAAATATAAGGTAAAAGTCCGAGTCAGCCTTTTGCCGCCATATTTTATAAATCAAATATCTTGAAAAGGAGCTCCATGACCTATCAAAATTTTTAGCTTATTTTGGTCCTTACCTAATACCCTTCCAGCTTATAGTACCAATTTTAAATTCTTGATTTATTTAATTTCACCTTAGATCACCTAAGTACATCCTTAAAAGCAAACAGTATCGGTATTGACAGTGTATCGTATCTTTGCTGATTACTCTCACAATTGAACTGAACCACAATTTGGAAGGCGTTGATTAGAATACAGTGCTCGAATTCTTAGTTGGAGTCGGACCATCTGTACATTACGTTAACCCTTTCACTTTCAACGTCGATCTTATTCAATTATCAGGTTTGAGGTGAAGGTAAAGAAAGGATGCATGATACGTTATGATATGGTTTAACCATTAAAGTTAGACCTTCTGTAATCAGTTCTACAAAACTAAAGGGGTTTGTTATATTACTCGTTCAATACTTACATTGTAAGCGTTATTGTATACTTACAAGTACAATGACTGCTATCACAGAATAAACAGCAATCATAACTTCAGTCTTTACTGCGTTTACGAAAGGTTTTCTGAAGAAGACAAAAAAAAATTTCAACGTAGACAATATAAACAACGTATTGTTAATAACGTGAAAATAACATCCCAGTCATATTCCAGTCAAAGAGCATGACAATACCAATACTTGTCTTTATGACAGATTTGAAATATATTTTGACCTATAACTCCATGTTATAAAGTACTACACCAAATATCGAATTATTCCAAATAAAGAAGAAATCGATAATACTAAATGTTGACTAGGCAGATAGGAATATAGTTCTCAATTAACATCTCATTATAATAAACATGATAAAGTTTCAGACAACATACAATATATTACCTGCAAACTGAGAAATATATAAAAAAACAGATACCTGTTAAGTTAGTATTATAACCATACAAAGAGTCTTGAATTAGGTATTTACTGATTCTTAGGTAAGACCATTGCTACAGTGAAGTGAACATTTCATTAAATAAAATTCCAAATCAAATGATGAATCTTTCTTAAACTCAGAAGTTGAGTGTAATCCTATAAGAGACATGCAAGGATACACGCAGGATACAAACCCCAAAGTGTTTGAAATAAGAATAAGAAGATTTTTTATGATTGACAATGAGACAACTTTTCACAAAAGACATATTTCTTTGTCTTGTTGTTTAGTGACATTTTTTACGACATAAGGATATTTTTGGCCCACAAAAATATATTCTTATACATGTAACTCTATTGATGCTTTATCCTGACAAAATCTTTCTGATATTTTAGAGGAACACGTCATAAATACATCAACAGTGTTTTACAACCAAGCATTTATTCATAACAGATCAGTGGTTACCTTCTTCTGAATGTTTTATCATAAATCATAAGAAAAAGTCCTTTTCCTGTATCCGCATTCGTCGTGTCGTCCTGTTCATTAGGCTGTATCTTTTCAATGTACTTATGACTTCTATCATTAACAGCTACTGATAAAACCTAAAAAAGAATAATTACTTGTTATACTCTACTCTTTGTTTATTTAATGACACGTTGCGTAAACATTTGTAAATAAAGTACAGCAGGTTTAAACAGTTCAACCATTGTCGCGTTGATGGTTTAGCAAGGGAAAAATAAGAAGGACCATGAAAAAAATTCAAAGAAGTAATATGTTTTCCTTATATTACATATAAACATATCACAAAAACAGAAATAAGATTTGATTCTCTATAACTGGCGCTAATACATAACCAAATAGAAAAATAAAACAAAGCATTTCATTATTTAATATCGTTATTCAAATGCTTGTCTTTCGTTTAGTTCGGTACATACCAAGCTTACTAATTCAAAGTGAAAATAAATAGCCATCTGTTTATGTTGTTAGGTGTGAGAAATGTGCTGTTGTATGCAGGGTTCTCTTTAGATAATGTAAGAACATGTTACACGAGAAAGACATAATTCAGGTCAACGCTCCGATGAATTTAGCATCTAAAGGTGTAATATCAACATTGTTTGTCCCTATTAGTCTTTGTTAAATTTGTACTTTTCAAAAAATTGTGCAGAATGTATCTTTACTTCAAATAAAGTAACTATTGGACTGAGTAAAGTTTTGTCCTGTCCAGTACTAAAGAACAAATTTCACAAAACATTTCATTGCATATAAGAAAATAAGCATCTCTAGAAGTTAACCAATCAAATGTTCACCTTTTTTTTACTTGTGTACAAGCTTTAGTAACCATGTAACATCAAGTTCAAAAATATTCTATAGAAACCCCAAATAAAAAAATAATAGTGCTTTGAAATACCCAAGATATATGTTTATGACCCAGAAATGTTTTACCGCAATGAAATATAGAATTAATTACCTACAACGGTCAAATTTAAGCTAATATTTAATTTCAACCTAATTTCGTATGCAACCGGATGTGACGTACTATGATTTGGTAGTATTACACCTTTAGAACAATAAGGTTTATATATATATATATATATATATATATATACTATATACATTGCATACAAATCACTGTCAGCCAATTTCTTTTCTGTTTTTCGTGAACAACACCATCAACACATTAATAAATATCAGTTGCATCTATTATGATTTTCTGTCATAGCTTAATAAATATATGTTTTGCATCTAGAACGTATTGCAGATCTGTTACAAGAGATCACATTAAAATAGCATTATTTGGTGTTTGAAATTTTAATTTTTATGTTGTTCCGTTGTTTTTTCCTTATAGTTGATGTGTTTCCCTCGGGTGTAGTTTGTAACCCGGATTAGTTTTCTCTCAATCTATTTATGACTTTTGAACAGCCGCATACTACTGTTGCCTTTATTTACAGAACCATGAATATATTTTTAGCAAAAATAATATAATTATGAATAACGATAAGTTGTTTAACAATTTAACTTTTACTGAGTATTCATACCCCATCTCCTAATTTTATCATTAGTAGAATGTCGGTACCCAAGAATACTATTAGCGGAGTAGCCATTTGACAGGACTTAAATGCATTACAAAACCAGTTCAGTTTAACATTCTGCATACGCGAAGCGTTTAATTCCGTCATGAAAAGTTGATATTAGAGAGTTGATGCTGATATATTTATATCGGTGTTTAAAAAGTTTAAAGGTCTATTTCATTGATTTTTAAGGTCAAATCACAAACATACCGAACGCCGAGGAAAATTCAAAACGAAAACATATCAAACGAATGGACAACAACTATCATATTCCTGACTTGGTACAGGCATTTTCTTATGTAGAAAATGGTTGATTTCACTTTTCTCTACCATACGTATCACAGAGCAAACACAATGGTAATTTAGAATATATCATGTTTCTCATCTAATTGCAAAGACAAAAGCAGTTATGTAATATTTGCCTTGTAATCAAATAAAAATAAATCGTATTATAGAATGTCCTCTTTTTAATAGGACCTATATATGTATATAAGTATATAATGTAAAATTGTAAACTTAAAGATACCTGCATTAGGAATTCAGAACAAAATATGGCAAGTCCTACTCCAACTGTTGCCCTCATTTTTGGACACTTCTGCAAAGATATTGTTTGAAGACATACATGTAAATTCTGTTTATGAGTAACAACTTCCACCTGATGTGTGCATTATTCAAATACGTTGATGTTCCTTAATGTTTAATTTTCTTTTTAACACTTTTCTTTATAGATTATTGACATTAAACGCTCACAAAATTAATGAGTGGCGTGACACAAACCTATGACGTACAATAAACGTTAAACATATGTAAGATTTAGATGTGCTTTATAAATACTTTGCACTTCAACTTTTAGTAATATTAACAAATCCGCCGCTTCGAAATATCAAAAGAGCGATGTGTAATTTCATGGTTTTACGCTTAGATTACAATAACGTTACGTCGTTGGTTGAAATGCAATTGTCAGCTGATCTTGACATTGATATTTACTTACCACTATAACAGGGTTTAATGCGTCCATATACTGACATTCAGATTCCTGAAATAATGGTACCACAGTGCAAAACTACGTTTGTTTTTACAGCTTTGAAACAAATTCATTGAAAAAAATATCTAATATATGCTTAACATTTCTTATTTTTTAGGTCTCGCGTATCAATTCCACATTATTTGTTATAAAAATAAAATAAACGATACCAATTTTACTGCACTAGTCCAGATTCCCATTTCAATAATTAAGGTCTATTCAGTGATAAATTATGAATCATATTCATAGATGAATACACTAGGATAAACGATGAGAAGTGTTCTGCAAAGTTATGTTTTTTAGAAAAACCGCAAATCTTTCGGCATTTTTCTTTGGTGGAATAGGTCATTTCAATTTGCATTTTACATCCACATTAAGGCAACAGTATTTTACTGATGTTCAAATCTCATAAGTAAGTTAAGAAGTAGCATAAGAAAGTACCAACACCAAGGTAGTCTTCCAAACTTTAAATCATTTTAACCGTCTCCTACTTTGCAGGCATCACCAGCCACGAGAACTCTTACAATCGGGAGTTGTTATACAATACTATAAATACGGGGATTCAAATTACGTTAAACTGAGCCATCCTGTTCAGTTTTCTATATTGTAATTTGTATAATGTTATTTGTGTTTTGATTTAAGGAATGACTGTAATATTTTTTCTGTCTATGAAGAAATAACATCAAAAATGTGGTGCACACTGAATAACCCGCGTAGCGAGTTATTTTAAAGTGTGCACCACATTTTTTATGTTATTTCGAATAGACAGAAAAAATATTACAGTCATTTCTTATAATTTAATTCTGAATTCCATTTTAAACCGTAGTAAACCATGACAAAACGTTGATGACGTCACGGTCACATGACAAAATTATGTCTATGAGCTGATAAACAAAAACAACGTCAGCCAATCAGAAGACGCTTTACATCCAAAATTAAATTATTGTTATTTGTTCTTCTATGGGATTGTCGATATGTTATTGAATATTCCTTTTGTAACTTTCCCCGATATACATTATTTCTTTCGCTATAACTCCCTGTCGATATTGACAATTTCAGCAACGCAAAAGACTGACAACAGGTCAGATTATAGGTCTTGGCAGTTTGGAGATGTTTAACCCCGAATTTAAAACTAGAATATTGGTTATTGGTGATATCATCAATTAATTATTGACAAATGCAAACCCACCTAAAACCAGGGGATAATAATCCGGAAAGGTAAATAGTTTATGTCCAAATGAAAGTTTCTCACTAAAGTTTTGTTGTTGCATTTCTAACTGTTAACATATTGATATCAAGGAATTAATTTAATTACTTACTTCGTGTAATAAGATCGCACCAAGACAAATGAAGACTATATTGATTGATAGTGTAAACGCCATGATAACAGAATTCTGTGAAATAAAATAATTTAAAAATAAAACGATACAAAGAATAAATAACAGGAAATCAAACATACGTAAAAACAGTCTATAAGGGAAACATGTTTAACATCAATGATTTAACAATTTATTTTTCAAATCCATATCTTGGAGTTCTGTACTTTTGTTTCGTACATCTGCTTTTTACGCGGCAAATAAATGCTTTTTGAGGTCATTTTATACATTATACGATATATCTTTTTAAAATATATTTGTTTGTGTTTTTTTTTCTATTTAACTGTTTCTGTGGACAAAAATACCATAAATAGAGTTAATAATCTCTAAGATCGGAATTTTATATATGCAAAATGTACGAACTTGTGACAAATTAACCTCAAATAAATTACAAAATACTTTGCTTACTAAATATACGACTTTGATCCAGCTGCACGATACTGCTATTATACCGATGATTCTATTTATACTGATTAATGGAAGCAACACAAGGCATCCAATTGACAAGAATTTGAAGACAACTTCAAGATTCATGGCAATCTTATACATGCTACTGAGTCCGGTTGTTATCCATTGCCTGTCAAGAACCGATGATAATCCATACACAGAGACCAATACAACAAAGGTTATTTCAATCATCTGAAGAAATAAAAAAAAAGTAGATATTATCACAAAGAGTCGTTTTGTGTTGTTTCATAAAAAGTCGTTCGTCAGAATTCCTTTTAGTGTCTGTAATACATGTCCTTTTTTTCACTAGGATATGTCGAATGTATTCGTAACGATATCTTTAAATATCACTATTTTACTGTTTAAGGATAGTTTTTCTGTTATAACGCATGTAAGACAGATTTGGTATATATGAGTGTATAAGGGAAATAGCAAAAGAAAAGTAGTTCGACAGAGAAATAAGGAATCGTTCATAGATAATATATATTATTTTAGTAAAAAAATAAATATCGTAGCTTAAAATGTCCCTCACAATAATAGAAGCAGGGACAGCCTGTCGTTTATAAACATTTTATAGAGATGTGTAGACCAAAAATCATTATACAGGATTTTAGAGCGTCAAACATTTTGAAATGACTGATATTATATAATACTGGCTCTGTGACGGAATATATATATATCTGTGACATGTATTATGCATTGATAAAATTATAAAACATAGCTTAAAATTTATTTTAAAAGTATCAAAATACATAAGCCAACATACAAGAATAAATACAGCTAGTACGAAATGAATGGCAATTAACACTTCTATCTTTCCACTGCTGAATTTTTTCCTACAAAAGTAAAAATAAAAAATAAAAAGTATGTCTTACTCTTGAATCATCTGTATTACAAATTTCGTATTATGACAGCTTTGTTATGGTGTTCTTGTTGTTTAATATTCAATTTTATTTGTAGTGTTTGTGAGATGGTCTATGTTGGTTTTTTTTTCATTTTATACAACTATTTATCATTGTTTACTTGGCTTTATTTTTCGTTCATGGATAGCACATTAACTAAATTAGGACATTAGTAATTTACCAAATATACTTATCCCATACACTTTCTAAGAAGAACAAAATCGATTTAATAGACAAATATCCGTATATGATAAATTAAACTGAGACTATTAAAGATCTTTATAAATGTCCGAACATTTTATCATATGAATAAACGTAATATAAAGATTATACTGTAATCCAACTTATTTTCGCGGATGCTTTTTTTTTGCGTTTAGCCCTTACTAGCTCAGTTCTCGGCTATTTAATTTCGCAATTTTTAAAATTGTTTGATGTAGTTATATAAGGGAAGATCCCAGTTATACATATTCGTGACGAATTATATTCGCGTTATTTTTCTACTCTCGAAAGTCACGAGAACAAATCGTTCGCGAAAATTAGTTGGTTTATGGTAAAGTAAAGTAAATACCTTCGTCTAAAGAATGTATCATACATCTTTAAAAACATTCCTTTTTGTTGATCTGGACCAACCAAGGATTCTGTACCCTCCTCAGGAAGAAAATATTTGTAGCATCTGTCGTGAACAAGGAAGGAAATCACCTAAAATGGAAATCACTTTTTTAAAGCATTACGTTTACACAAAATGTATCAAACGCAATTTTCATATGAAACCATTACCTTATTGTTCAACAGATAAGTTATCTTCAACCAGATAGGAGCAAATCAATACAATTAAGCTAGAAACTTCAGTGGTTTTATGGTGAAGGCATATATGTATTAAAAAGAGTCATGACGTTCATTTAAGGTTAGATTTTAATTGAGAGAATTAGAGCCTGAGTTTCCTAATAATTCATCAATTAAGAGATGTTTTAAAATGATAGAAATAAGTCATAGATTTTGCAATCAATAAGGATGAGATATGAGAAACCCTTTTTTTATTTCTCGGGATGACGTTGATTAGGTTGATGAGAATTACCTCAGGTCAACCACGACAATGACATCCAGGAAAAAAAGGTAGAGCTAACCTGAATGTAATTATAATTTGACTGTACAAGAAAATAATTATGATAATAATTATAATAATTATAATATGAAACGATCACATTACTTATAGGTTTGTAGTTACCTGTAATAGGATTTCAAGAATAATTATGGCTACTGCTACACCAACTATAACATATCGTCGTGAAGGGCAAGACTAGAAGCAAACAAAATATTCTATATGTGCAAATGAAATAAAAAGAAAATTGAAAATAACAATTTATAAATTGCCTGCGTTCGAAGGGCTGGAACGTTCAAAGCGAATTACTTTAAAAACAATAAGTATAAGAACCGAAATAGTTGAATAGCTATATGACTAAACAAGAGAGAACACGCTGAAATGTCTCGCCTTCTTTACTAATCATTGATATTATGTTGATAGTCCTAAATATAAAGCTTTACTAAAACTATCACATATACTTGACATGATCCAAGAAAATGATCTCAAGGTCATATAAACCAAACAAGAAATACATGTATACCTTACAATCATTCAATACACTAAATATAGTTGACCTATTGCTTATAGTTTCTAAGAAACAGACTTAACCAAGAAAACTGAACATTGACCAATGAACCAGGAAAATAAAGTCAAGGTCAGATGACAAATGCCAGCCAGATATGTACAGCTGAAAATTCTTCCATACAACAAATATAGTTGACCTATTGCTTATAGTTTAAGAAAAACAGACCAAAACACAAAAACTTTACACTGAGAAATGAACCGTGAAAATGCGGTCAAGGTCAAATTAAACCAGGGAGACTGACATGTACATCATAAAATATTTCCATACACCAAATAAAGTTGACCTATTGCATATAGTATTAGAAAAAAAAAGACCAAAACTCAAAAACTAAACTTTGGTACCTATTGCATACAGTATAAGAAAAACAGACTAAAACACAGAAACTTAACTACAACCACTGAACCATGAAAATGAGGTCAAGGTAAGATGACACCTGCCAGTTGGACATGTACACCTTACAATCCTTCCATATCCCGAATATACTAGACTTACTGCTTATAGTATCTGAGATATGGAATTTACCACCAAAACTTAACCTTGTTCACTGATCCATAAATGAGGTAAAGGTCAAGTGAAAACTATCTGACGGGCATGAGAACCTTGCAAGGTACGCACATACTAAATATAGTTATCATATTACTCATTATAAGAGAGAAATTAACATTACAAAAAATCTTAACTTTTTTTCAAGTTGTCACTGAACCATGAAAATGAGGTCAAGGACAATGGACATGTGACAGACGGACACTTCGTAACATGAGGCATATATATACAAAGTATGAAGCATCTAGGTCTTCAACCTCCTAAAATATGAAGATTTTAAAAATTTAGCAAACGCCGACGCCGCCGCTGGATTACTATCCCTATGTCGAGCTTTCTGCGACAAAAGTCGCAGGCTTAACAAAAAGGACACAAAGGAAAATCATTTAAGGTTAACTTTGCCTGACGGAGTTGAAACCTTAGTTTCTTTATAATTTAAAATTCTATAAAAAAACAATTTTGTAAAGGTTTATTTTAAATCATGTTCCAAAGTGCAGACTACTGAGCTAATGATACACCTGGGGACTAAAAGTCTATCGGTAGAGGTAATGCTCAAGAGCTATCAAACGAAAGCAACACGTTATAAAAGATATCTTTAAAAATGATCGTAAATACAAAATGCAGTTGGCTACTTTTAAAAAATCTTTTTATAACTTACGTGATAACTTTTATACCAATTTATCAAAATCAGAATAAAAACCCGACGTTTTGTGTCCTCTGTTTGCCGTTATAAAGTTGTATTTGTATAATGATCAGTTGATAAATAAGATAGATGATTTAAACAATAAGGGTCTTGTGTATCAAAATAAGGCATTAGTATTTGCCGTTGTTCAAATATGATAAGTCTATTCGAAGCTTTATCAATGTAAAAAATACTAAATGTATCGCACGATCTCCTAGAGACGCAAGGTCAGTTGTGTCGCTTGCTATGCGTCGATATGGCAACTATCTCAACCTATGTATGCATCGAGTTATCCTGAAGTAATATGGAACCATGACAATAATCTTCAATATACAAATGTCCCGTCTAGAGGGAAGAATACAAATGATCATATAATTTTTTTAAGAATTAGATAATGGCTTGTCGGTATTACTTTGAAACACTTTCACGAACACAATTTAACATCATAAAGAGAGATAGTCATCACTAATATTTATTACTACAGTACTGTAGATGTGTTACATGTTACGATATTTATGGTCAAACAGAACGAACAAATACGTTGAAGTATCAAAACCACTACCATAGCGACGTATCATATTTATAGTTACCCCGGTATCCAAGGTACACCTGCTCACCTGTGAAACAGAAACAATGAGATAAAGACAATGGAATTCAAACATGAATGATGGAGGATGTATATTACAAACGAATCAATTACATATTTCCCTTAAGATAAACAGCTAACAAAGCAACTGATGCAAAAAAACAGATCACAGTCAATGCATATTTATAGAACCAGCACCGCAAATCAAATTTTATATGCAATGTTTATATGCCAGATGTATGCAGACCTTTCTTTGCGTTGACATCCATGTCAACCATTTGGTACCTGTTGCATCAAGTTAACATGGACAATCATGTTATGTCTCTATATTTTTGTAAGTATTTGTTTAAATTTATGCCTTGAAAAAATATAAGTAGTTTCAATACGAATCATCCAACAAATATATAAACGCCGTTTAGCAATATACCACCATTTTATTTGTCATAAAAACATTTCATTTCCATGAATTAAATCGACTTATCATTCCAGTAAGTACATGATTCATATGTCACAAAGTTAACACAAGTGATGTAATAAGGTTTACCTAGTATCCGTTATTACATGCAGATCGGAAACAAAGGCATTGTTTTAAATGTATACATAAGAACTTTATTTGTTGCATTTAAACGTGGTAAGGTCAAGCCAAAAATGAGATGCATATCGCTGTCAATCTTTTGTGTGTTTGTTTTGTTTGTTTGTTTGTTTGTTTTCTAGACAATGCATACTTACCGCACCCAATACTATTGATGAAAGTATCAGAAATATTATTGAAAGCAGTAATGTGAACGCATGTACACCTGACACCTATAAAAATAAAATATCAACGCAGTTTGAAATAGTTAAACTCATAGTAATCTACAACATTTATAAATACAAAACATATAAATTTGTAAACCTACCACATCATTGATCGCTTAATCGATATTGAAATAAATGGACAACTTTAAACACAACTTTATGAGAAAACATAAAAATTTCTGCTTTCTAATTTCCAACTGTACATTTCTAAAATTCATGAATCTCCTTTCTCGTCGTTTACTGTTCCTATGTATTAAGCAATAATATCGTGTAGTTCATCCATTGCAGGTGCTCATTACAAAAACAATAAAATTCCAACGAAGTGTTTTGCGCCTGAAATCGACATCGATATGTTTTACAGTCACTATTACTAATTGCGAAAGCTAAACACTGTGTAGGTGTCTCATATCAAGAGCAAAATATTTTCACAGTTTTAGATTTTCAGATACAAGAAAAGTATTGTAAATTCGCATGAGGACAGGAAATTGTATATCAAAGAGACTCTGATTTTACTTCTTTTGGTGTTCCAACAGTTCTGCTGTGTTGCCTTGACGTTACACTGTTGTATTTTTAACCGATTTGTGAAGTTTGAACATCGGTTAACTAGCAATGCTTAGATTAATGATTTTGCTAGATAATACCGCTTCACAAATTGATATTAGTTTTTCAAAAGCAAAACTGTATGACTCATATACAAGCATACCACACCTTTTTATTTTTTTCTATTTTTTAGTTTTACCTTTTTTTAGTTGTTCAAATATATTTTTCCCTCTGTAAATAAACATTACATTATATATGATATAGATTTTATGAAATGTGTTTCACTTACCACATAAAGAAAGATTTTACGTCTTGTCAATACAGAAACAACTCCACATATTCTATTTATACTCATTATAGGAATCACAGCTAAAAGGGAAATCTTGAGAAAATCGAACAAAACTCCAATGTTTACAGTTTCTTCATCGAGTATGTATAAACCTGTTGTTATCCATCTCCGGTCCAGTAACCATGAAAAGCCATAAAAGCATACCAAAACAATGAACGTTGTTTCGAGTAACTGGAAAATAATTATCACGATATGAGTGTTGCTTGTGCTTAAAACTCCTGTTATCATTATTGCATGTAAATGTGACGGCAAGCTATAATTGGTAGAGGTACACGGAATGTCCGTTCAGAAACAACTGGCAGGAAAACTGGTAATCCTTGTTAAATTAAGATCGAAATCAAACATACCTGCAACGTTTGGGATGAAAGAGAGGTGCAATATACCAACGAGACATTCAAACGCATACGTCTCACTACCTGTTGTGTATTCGTTGGTTAAAAGCTTATAAGATTTATCTCACGGTCAATGTGTAATAAAATTAATGATTTTAAAACTTATCCCTTCTAAAAATCTAAATTCCTCAGCTAAAAAAATGACTTTATTTTATTAATTTGCAGTTGGCATTCCATTTTTCTATTATATTTGTTATCCAATTGTACCTAATTGAACAGGTTAAAAAACTTATAAGATATATATCACGGTCAATATTTAGATCGTTATTTTATGACGTTTACTTACCGTCATCACAATGCTTGCCCCAACATACACAGCGACAGGGATCTCAAGTTTCCGATTATTCTTAAATAACTGTCTGAAATGTACAAGCATGCACTGCCTTCGTTTTACAAGTAATTCTCATGTTTTACCTTACGTTGTAGTCAAGGCGTTGGTTCTGTTCTGTTTTTTTTTTTTACATTTCTTTCAATATACTTATGATAAATGATTTGTATAACATGTTGTACGCCAGATTGGCGTTTTGTTAAAAGTTGGGAAAAGCCAAATAACATGAAAAAGTACGAAGTTGAAGATCATTTGGACCAAAAATTTCGATATGTCTAAGTTATGTCATGAGCATATGTCACAGCAAACAGCCGTAAAATGTGTATGAAATGTACAATCAAATTGATTCATCTGTCTTTTAATTGTGTTTAGATTTGAGCGTTTCTGATTAGGGCATATCATTTTTTAAAAGTCTCTACAAATGATAGGTTTCGATTGACAGCATTTGAGCAAGAGTCATTTCTCTTTCGTTACCATGCTTTAAGACTCAGTGCACAAATTCCTTCATAAATCAGACAAGTTCAGCATGCTATACTTACTGCTAGACTTTAAAAAAGCTTTTTTGAAAATAAAATTATTTCATAAGCATTTATTGATACATCAGTACGATGAAGAAGGGATCTTTAATCAGACTTGTTTTTATGGCATTTTTCAATTTGGTTAATCAAATTATAAAATCAATCATTTATCCCGACAACATGGTGGCCAAGGGAATTGATTCAAACTCAAAAAACATCATATATTCCTTAATTCATGGCCTAGACTAACTACATTCTTTACCTTTCTACCAACAAAAAGGAGTATACTGTCCTGAAGAGTCCTGGTTGTTTCTTTTCATCTGTTTGAGATAGCTCGTCTGTTAGGTCTGTATACTGATGGATCCTATCATGTATGATCAAAACGCATATCTTTGGATGAGAAAGAAAGATAAAAAAGAAGTAGTTTAACTTAAATGATCTGATTCAGTCAATGATACAGAATGCATTTTTCTCATTGCTGTATGAAGTACTTTGAACCAATTATATATATTGTAGCTATTCTTGTAATGAACCATTATCTTTCGTGTAGGTGTATAACTGTATTGTTTGCATTTGATCAAAATTATCATTTAGTTGAACCTTGACTTCATGAATTTCCGATAAAAAATTAAAGTCACGTGATGTTTCTTAAAAAATGTTTGTATCTTTCTAATTAAGCATACAGGAAACTTCACGTGAACATCACGTTACAGAAAGCAGCATACGCGCATGTGGTAATAGATGACAAAAAGACGCCTTAAAAAAGACTTAAACTTAATTCTATAATAAACAAGGCAAAACAATAGTAAGTCTCAAAATGCTCTTAAGATACTCTCTTGTTTTTTCCGTTAAAATTTATATTTTTAATTATTCACAATAAGAAATATGGCTTTTCATTTTCGTAAAATAAACACCTGCATAAATTCAATGTATATAGATGCTTGAGAAATCTGACAATAAATGGTAATAGTTATCAAAGGTATAATTTGATACACAAGACGCGCGTTTCGTCTACATAAGACTCATTAGTGACGCTCAGATCAAAATAGTTAGAAAGCCAAACACGTATAAAAGATACAACGCGATTACCTGTGAAAACAGTTCGATAACAAATATTCCAATAGCAATTCCAGACGTTGATTCTAAATCTGACGAGCAGTCGATCTTAAAAGAAAATCACCAAGATACAGTTATTTACACAAATTAGGAGAAAACTTTATTTTCAATCGAGACAACCACAAAATGTCGGTGATATAGTAAGTCAACATGAACTACTCATCACATGATTCAGCGTGGATTCAAGCAATATTGCTTGCACTATTAAAAGTCCAGTCGCACGTATGTAACAATCGCCTTTCGTTTTTTTGTTACAAGCAAAAGATTAAACGACAATTCGTAATACTACCTTACATTCCATATGTTCCATACATATCACCTACATTTGTTCCTCTTTATACTTATATATATTTTATGTATTGTCTGATATCGATTCAAATGCATACGATACGTGTACTGAGAAGAACCTTGATCGGATTACACCACACTGATAATTTATTTATTAGCTATAACCCTCGTTATTTTGATATTCGACCTTTTTTCCCTTGAAATTATATTTTGCATTTTCAATTAGAAATGACATTTGAACGTATATTGTTGTTGCATTACATCCTTACATTGCGACTTTTGGAGACATTTTTCTTGTTGGAGTGACTCATTGCAAAATACTTCTCGGACTTCATGTTCGTCTTTTTTTTAAGGGTTAAGTATCGTTAGTTTTCTGTGACTTAAATGTAAGATTGTCCCTTTAATATCATATGTAACTTTTCCGTATAGTCAGTCCAATTTTCAAAATCTGAATAAACCAATCTTGATCGAGATTTCGATTAAAGACTTTTTAAAAATAACATCTTTATTTTTGACTACCTTTAATGAATGATAATTGTAGGCAAACTAAAATAATCGCATGTAAAAATAAATACTCAGAAATTCATATTTTAAAGTGAATAATCTATATAAACACTCCATTGAATATAATGATGTTTTTTTTTATATTTCAACTTCCTTACATGCTGAACAGCTGCCAAATTGTAGTAGCTACATGGATATTCCTGCAATAGATATAACTTTGATAGACTAAGAATTGAATTAAAAACCGCTATACAAATTATAATAAAAATTCAAAACAGTATACACTATGAAAATATGTAATATGTATAATATAATTATTACAGGTGCTGCCCCCACCCATACAAAAAAACAACCAAAATGGCCAAAAACATATTTTTACTATGATGATCAATTGTGCAGATTCTTATAAAAAATGCTAATGTATAAAATAATTCCTCTTTTAAAGAACACGTTAATGTTGAGAAATCTATTGTTTAATATTCTCTAAATGTTGCTACTTAGTGTTTTCCTAATGGCAACAAGTTATAGCAGGTGTATTGTAAAAAGTGAGAGGTAAAACAAAAAATTGCAGGGACAACATTCAAATGAATAAAAATTCAAAATAATTATGACACTGATAAGCAGCTATATATAAATTTCTTATATATTACTTTTCATTTGAGTTGTAAACAACGTACTGTTCTAATTATGGGTAAACATTAGGTACATATGCGTGTCCTCAAAATTGAAATTACAACGTCAGTTGTATTATAAATGACACTGGAGATGCTGGAAGCCAAATGTAAGAAAATCCAAAACCTTATTCAAATGTCGAAGACTCAAGCATACCACATCTTCTTTTTTATATCTTCATCAACAAAGTCTAATTTGATACACTTACTTACATCATAACGCAATACAGATCCCATTATTAAGAATGTCATCGTCAGCAACGTATTTATTGTTACAATAGTTGTTATCTGAAATTTGATAGAATCATATATGTATACCATGAGCTATGAAATATATATTTTACCATGGTTACATTACAATGAAATTTATATTTCATCATGATAACAATACAATGAAATAAAATTATGTATTTTACCATGATTACAATACACTGAAACATATATTTTACCATGATTACAATACAATGAAATATATATTTTAACATGATTTCAATAACATGCAATATATATTTTTACCATGATAACAAGACAATGAAATATATATTTCTAAGCAGCAGGTTACATCTTAGTGTAAAACAATAAGGACTGGCTGCACTCGGTGTCATTTGTTGTCTGTTATATAGACAATAACTGTTTAGTGTCTTTAAATATCATCTGTATTTGTACGAGGGTATAAAACAGGTGTAATGCAAGCTTCAGCGAGCTATTACTCCAGTTTCGAGCCGCGAAAAAAAAGCCAGCGGATATCTAAAGACACTATTTGAGAACTCTGTTGACTCGAAATTTCGGATGAGTCGAAGTTTTCTCGTGGTCCCGAATTTTGTTCCATAAAAATATCTGTTTCGACTCCTGGTGGGTCGAAATTGGATGAGTCGAAATTTCAGTTGAGTCGAACATAATTTACGGTACCAAGGTTAACAAAAGCATTTAAAATTCATTAATTATCTCGAACTGATACACATATGTCAAAACATTACCTCCCGGATTTAAATTGGAATGTGATTGAATTACACATTCTGAGGTCACGAAAGTTCATACAACACTCGTCAACCGCAATTCACAAACATAGTCCGGCAGTGGGCGGAATTTTAAAGCGATATCTGTATAGCATAGAAATACAGGCTTGCGATAAATGTTGGGCTGCTAATAAATGATACATTAAGACACCCAATTGCAGGATATATATACATATATTAAACATGTATTTAAAGCCTTATTTGAAGCCTCAGTGGCCGGGTGGTCTCATTTGTTCATCAACAGTAATATTAGCCTGTCATCACTCAGATTGGGAGTTCTAATCCAGCAAATAGCGGGTCCCTCAAACCATAAAAACGTGTTTCAACGATATAGGTAAGACAAACAAAATTACCGCTGAACACCAACAAGTAAAACATTGAGCTATTGTATTGCTCTTTAAGTACTCGGTTAGCCGAAAGGTAAATAAAAATGAACTGGAAAACGTATTTCACAGTAAAGCATGTTCACGAGAAGCATAATATCAAATTTCATTTGTAGTTTTGTAACGAAATTCTCAGACATATCCAGTATATAATTGAATAATAAATAGACATTCGGTAATAACGAAATTTGTGAGCAATTACCCTGAAACCGCTTCACAAGGAATAAAACAAAGCCTAATAACAAATTTCTGAAAGATATTTTGCGTAGTTCCCTAGTAAAAAGCAATGAAAATGTCATACATTTCCAATATGCTTAGAATTTTCGGTTTCATAGAGTTTAATGAGCGACAAAACTGCGTGGCACGGTTTAGTAACCTGACATGAAGATCGATAATAATTTCAGGAAGCCATTAGGTGTAGTTCCTGAAGAAAATGTGACAGACATTTATTGGGACAAACGGATATATGGACTGTCTGACGGGGTATAACTATCAATCAACATATAAGTTTATAATCAATCAATGATATAAAAGTATATGTCATATAAACAACATTTTAATTTCTTCATAATTATATAGTGTGTTTTTTTTATTCGAGGAAACTGTTAATTCGTTTGCCGTATCATGTTGGAATAATTTCCCCTAATGAGATATAGGTAAATCTGTTCTACATCTTTTCATTATGAATTCAAAAAATAAGATTGAGGAAAACATGGTAAAGACTAAGTATGTCTCCCTTGGCTTTAAAGCGCTATAGAGCACTTATTCCAATTAGTTTCTAGAGTAATAAGCTTTCCTCATGTAAAGTGTTCCTCTTAACGGCTTGGTGGTAAAAATCGATAATTAACCTCTGAATAACGTACATGTGACATTCAACATGCATTAGACTCATCGGTGGTTCTTAAAAACAATTCAATAGGACGGCCATATCAAATACAAAGTTAAAGAGCATCAAAAACAGTACAATCTTAATATTTTTGTCAATTGGTGGCAGAAAACCTTAGTGCTTCAACATTTGATAAGCAGTATGTTTTCCGAAATTAAACTTTAACAAAAGGTCAAGTTTACACGCCGATTACGTGGTTGGTTATACTATTTGGAACTCAAATTAGTTTACACAAATTATATATTTGATAAATGAATGTTACGTGACTTATGTGAACCTTATCAAACCCCACGTTTTACAGAGAGTTTGCAAAATTCAATATGAATACGAATAGAGTACAGAATAACAATTTTGTATTGAAAATGAAGCCGTTTTTTATAAATTCTTCAGTTCTCCAGATTTGACAGCTTACCACATAAAGGCTTTTCTTCCATCTTTTAAGAACAACAATCAAACCAGCAAACCTAATGATCATACAACATGACACCAGGACGATGCTACCAATAGCTAAGAATACATACAAATCTCCAATATGATCTATATAGCCTCTACTGACGTGGTTTGACATACCAAATATGGCCGCTAACACTATGTATGCCATCTCTAGTAACTGAAAAAGATTTTATCAAAGCCAATTGAACTTAAATACACATTTTTGTTGAAGCATATTGTTAAGCAAAACGGATCTCTTATATGACAATGCATTGCTAACTGAATTAATTAATTCGTTCGTGAATTTATCCATTTATTCATTCATTCGTGTATTCCGTTTTGTAGTCATATTTTTTTTAATTTTCTTTTTGTGTTCAGAGAATGAGTTTTAAACTTAAAATACAAGTATACTTTTTATAAGGCCTTTTCGGTGTTTTATATAATTAAAGAAAAAAGTAAAATAACAAACCGAACTTCGAGGAAAATTCTAAACGGAAAGTCCCTAAACAAATGGCAAAATCAAAAGCTCAAACACATTGATAACAACTGAAAAACGCAGAATATCAACAATTAAAAGGATAATATCAACAATTAAACGGATAATATCAACAATTAAAATAAACTTGTTTTTACATTTTAGAAGAATTCAAAGACACAAGGTGTATTTATAGTTCAGTACGCTAAATTCAGTACGCTAGACGCATGTGTCGTCTGCATGAGAAATATCAATGGCGCTCGAATCAATACAGATGAATAGCATTGAAAAAATGTTCAAAAATTGGTGTGCCAAATATAGGTAAGGCTATCTACTTACGAAAGTAAATGGAAAAGAAAAACAAGAAATATACAATTAGAAAAATTGAAAATTATGATACACTTTAATAATCATACAAACCATCATAAAAACTCCCAAACATATGTATAACGATAATAGGAGACTCCTTAAAATAGATAAATTGTCGTACATTAAACAAAAGTCCTATTTGAATAAATCTACATATATATTGACACAATAAAATCCGATTGTATGTACTTCATTAAGATGGTTAAATTTCGATTGGTGTTTGGTTGTTAAAGATCCTTTAAGGATGCCAGCTATTGAACATATGTTATTTTAGTAATCAGCATCTTTTTAAAAAGAAAAAATTCATTCCTTGAAATATTTTAGTAACCGTAACAATTCCTTGACACGTTATAGTTTAATTGATGTTTTATTTGGGCTTTTTTGTTTTCTTAATTTTGCTATCAATATAGAGTTAAGACGATTTTTTTGTAACACGTTTCAGTATGTACTTTAGCTAGTTTACTGGTCAAGAATTTAAAAAAGGAACGAGTGAAGTGTAAAAAAAATGTTTTATGTGCTGTCCAGAAAAACTGTCAGTGTTAGTCTTATACCATTATGTATAAAATGGATACTAGAACCTTGTGTAACTGAATTTACGTAACATATTGGATAGTACAACACACCACGAAAACATAACAGTTATTTGAATTAACATGGAAAGAATTATAGGAACATATAAATTTTACCCCTAAACCTTATACATAACAATTCCAACTCGATTGTGAAACCGAATTTATTATCAGGTGTTCAAACCTGGTAAACACAGCCAGCCTAGCATGCCGGACAAAGCACAGCTAAACGCAGAAATAAACGCTTATGCCATATTAAATAGAAATAGATTTCTTATCTCTGTCGCTCTTATATTTTCCAGAGTATTGATATATTCGTTTTGATTTCTGGATAGTTCATATTATTTAGCGAAAAAAATTAAGTGTCATGATCTTTATATATAATTTGGGCATTAGGATCATATAAGAAATTGCAGGTATAGGAATAGGACACAATTGGTAACATAATACAATAGTATACTTTTGTAATGTTTGAAGATCTAAGACTGCGACAACCCAGAAGCATATATAATTTGATATATAAAGAGTTACATATTTGATTCAGAGGTATACAGAGGAAGTAAGACGTTAACCAAAGTCATGTGGTAATTTTGGCAATTACAGAATCATATATGACGTTTTATATTGACATTAACGGTATCAATGTGTTCTGCAACAGCTGAGTATTTCGACAAAAAAACGTCTCTTTAATGATGCTCGAGGCCAAAATATTTGAAAGCTAATAAAACCAAAAAATGAACAGAATTAAAAGAAATTTGATGTGAAGAAACAGTTGAGTACATGTATTACCTGGTTTGTTGCCATGACGTATTCAAATAGGGAAAAACGATTACATTTAACATACGACGTTGGAACTTTTCCAGTAAACCATTTGCAATACAATCAGATAGTTTATACTTCATTATTGATGGCATTAATTATTAATTACATTTATTATAACAGCCAATGTAAACATGTGAAGATTATAAAGTATTTCATCCTTACTTAACTTTGATATTTCCTTGAGAGAGTTTAGGTTTTTTCAAATGGTTGTCGTATTACTAACAGCCCAATTTGTAGTTTTGTTATGAAAGATCACTTCTCCAATCTTTTCACTATTTTCACATTTCGCCACCGATTGTGAAAAAAAAATGATCTTATCACTAGTGAAATAACTGTTCTCAACAAACGATTGCTCAAAATTTTATTCTGACGTCAACTGTTCTTGATTTCTTCTGAATTTCTTATTGTGACGTCATGAAAAAATTTGACCGTGCCTGATGATGTCATATATAAAGAACACAAATTTCTGCAAATCTTTGAAAAGGAAGGATAACAATCATTAGAGAAACAGATTCCACCCTCATAACTCGTGTATTATGATATTTCTCCGCTTTCAACAGTAACATTTAATTATTTAAAAAGCTCAGCAAGCCTCGCGCTTTAAATATTAAAGTTAAACTGTCACGAGTGGAAAAATATCATAACACACCTGTTGCAGTGGTGGAATCTAAATATACAATATTCATGCTTGCCGCTAAATCAAAAGGGTGACAAAGGAGTCAAAGGCATAATACTCATGTTAAACGTATTCATTCTATCTCGTAGTGGACAAATTTATCAGATTTTAACTGAAACCCTTGCTGTCGATTGTTCTATTTCCGGTTTGCTCTTATAATAGAGTAAAACTTATCACATAACACACATACACAAAGCCAAGGAATAGCAAACAATAAATTTCGAAGCCATTCAAACATTATGAAGATATTTCTATTTAAATGTATAGTTTACCTTGGTTTATCACGTCTAAATAAATGATTTAACCATGGAACCAAATGCATAGCTTCCTTGGTCTCTTTCGCAACGTTTACTCCTTGATTTTCCTTAAATTCTTTACTGATTAAAATAGGTCCTACGAACTGCAATATAGACATGCTTGATATGACATTCAAATGGATATAATATGTTGGTAAAGAGACACATTTAAAAAAAAATAAGCAATCATAAACATTTTAAGTGTCCGACATACTAACAAATGTCTACCCTATAAATAAGTTACCTTACATGTATATGGCAATATCTTTCAGAATTATGGGTCCACAATGCTCTTCAACTTAACTCTTTATTTGGCCTTTAAACTTAGTTTTATTCCAGAGTCACTGGTGCTTCTTTTGAAGAGAAACGCGTGAATGACGTACACAATTAAAACCTGGTACCTGTGATGAGTTTTTATACTTTTTCATATGGATGAGTTAAAAGCATTGGTGATATAAACGTCTTTCCGATTATAAAATTTAAACCCAGGTATTCCCATTTAAGGATGAAAACCACGTAGACATTAGCAACAACATTAACAACTAGAGGCTCTAAAGAGCCTGTGTCGCTCACCTTGGTATATGTGCATATGAAACAAAGGACAAAGATGGATTCATGACAAAATTGTGTTTTGGTGATGGTGATGTGTTTGTAGATCTTACTTTACTGAACATTCTTGCTGCTTACAATTATCTCTATCTATAATGAACTTGGCCCAGTAGTTATAGTGGAAAATATTTTGTAAAAATTTACAAAAATTTACAAAATTTATGAAAAAATTGTAAAAAATTGACTATAAAGGGCAATAACTCCTTAAGGGGTCAATTGACAATTTTGGTCATGTTGACTTATTTGTAGATCTTACTTTGCTGTACATTATTGCTGTTTACAGTTTATCTCTATCTATAATAATATTCAAGATAATAACCAAAAGCTGCAAAATTTTCTTAAAATTACCAATTCAGGGGCAGCAACCCAACAACGTGTTGCCTGATTGGTCTGAAAATTTCAGGGCAGATAGATCTTGACCTGATAATCAGTTTTACCCGATGTCAGATTTACTCTAAATGCTTTGGTTTCAGAGATATAAGCCAAAATCTACATTTTACCCCTATGTTCTATTTTTAGCCATGTCGGCCATCTTGGTTCGCGGGCGGGGTCATCGGACACATTTTTTAAACTATATACCCTAATGATGATTGTGTAAAAGTTTGGTTAAATTTGTTTCAGTAGTTTCAGAGAAGATTTTTGTAAAAGATTACAAAAATTTACGAAAAATGGTTAAAAATTGACTATAAAGGGCAATAACTCCTTAAGGGGTCAACTGACCATTTTGGTCAAGTTGACTTAATTGTAGATCTTACTTTGCTGAACATTATTGCTGTTTACAGTTTATCTCTATCTATAATAATATTCAAGATAATAACCAAAAACGACAAAATTTCATTAAAATTACCAATTCAGGGGCAGCAACCAAACAACGATTTGCCTGATTGGTCTGAAAATTTCAGGGCAGATAGATCTTGACCTGATAAACAATTTTACCCCATGTCAGATTTGCTCTAAATGCTTTGGTTTCAGAGATATGAGCCAAAAACTGCATTTTACCCTATGTACTATTTTTTAGCCATGTCGGCCATCTTAGTTTGTGGGCTGGGTCATCGGACACATTTTTTAAACTATATACCCTAATGATGATTGTGGACAAGTTTGGTTAAATTTGTCTTAGTAGTTTCAGAGGAGAAGATTTTTGTAAAAGATAACAAAAATTTACGAAAAATGGTTAAAAATTGATTATAAAGGGCAATAACTCCTTAAGGGGTCAACTGACCATTTAGGTCAAGTTGACTTAATTGTAGATCTTACTTTGCTGAACATTATTGCTGTTTACAGTTTATCTCTATCTATAATAATATTCAAGATAATAACCAAAAACGGCAAAATTTCCTTAAAATTACCAATTCAGGGGCAGCAACCCAACAACGGGTTGTCAGATTCATCTGAAAATTTCAGGGCAGATAGATCTTGACCTGATAAACAATTTTTTCCCATGTCAGATTTGCTCTAAATGCTTTGGTTTCAGAGATATAAGCCAAAATCTACATTTTACCCCTATGTTCTATTTTTAGCCATGGCGGCCATCTTGGTTGGTTGACCGGATCACCGGACACATTTTTTAAACTAGATACCCCAATGAGGATTGTGACCAAGTTTGGTTAAATTTGACCCAGTAGTTTCAGAGGAGAAGATTTTTGTAAAAGTTTACGGACGACGGACGACGGACGCAGGACGACGGACGACGGACGCAAAGTGATGAGAAAAGCTCACTTGACCTTTCAGGTCAGGTTAGCTAAAAATGATACATTGCTCTGAAACACTAAGATCGTAAATTATATTTTTGGCTAAAGCTGTTGTCCAAACGTCACGACAAAAACGACTTAGATATATATAAAACAACATACGACGAGTATTCACATTAACCAGGCAATTAAACATACGGATCACATGTATAAAGTTCAATTTTGAGATTGTTCATAAATTATTGATTGCAACCTTTTTCCGATCCATTAGAATTTAGAGCTTTACAAAACTACGAAACTCTTTGGATTAAACTAGCTAATTCTAAATATAACACGAATATTTTTTTAGACCATGTGAATATCCATAAAATTGTAGCTACAGGTAGATACATGTTGTATTAGCATACTGTGATACTCATTCTGTATAATGCGTGTGTCTGAATTCGGTAAATGTACTTTTGTGGGCACTTTGAATATACTTACATCGCAAATTAGTCCAAGTATTAAAAAAGAGAAATAATATCCTGATATTACGAATAAGCGTTCTCTGATAGCTTGAGAACAATACTGAAAAAACAAACAAAATAAAAATATTATATTCAAATGATACGGTTACCATGACTGCATGCTTTACTATAAATTAAACTTGTCCCGTTCTAACGGGTCATGCATAGAAGGAGACGTTTTTCGTCGAATGTAACTAATTTCCTTATTTTTCTTTTTAAGGTGGTACCTAACACTACAGGGAGATAACTATGTAAAAATCAGCTAAGCGTTTTAATCACGTTGTATTGTTAAGAAAATATTAAGCTTCTCAATGATCCAAATTAGTGTTTGTTAAACTGCTATATAACCAATGAAATTTTTCTAATAAAGTGGTTGGTTCAAATTTTTTGAAATTTTTATATTTTTGTCAAAGGGTCAAAGTAAACATTTTGTCAAAATTTTATGAAAATTAAACGAGCCAAATTAATATTAGTCAAGGTGTTGGGTACCACCTTAAGAATGCATCAGATTCCAACTTATTTCAATTCCATGTGTGGCTTTTATTTTGTCCTTTGATATATATCTAATTAGAATTACAACCTTAAAAGAGAAGGGATGTTGACTTTATATCTAATTTAGTTATATTCTCCTGATGTCTTTTATTTTAATTTCATATGAAAAATGTTGATACTCCAAATGCTTTCATGTACTGTTTCTGTTATAACAAGCTTTGATTTCCCCCTTCATACATGTATAGATTTATCTCAAAGCTTGATTGTAGCAAATATGCAATTTTTATATATGCATATGCAAATATGTGTATAAACGTGATTGATTAATTGGTAGATAAGTAATAGTATTTGTAGAATTAAAGGATTTTCTTAACCGCATATACTTGACTAACTTGGCTGACATGATAAATGAAATAGAAGTGGAAAAACGAAAAATACAATTTGAAGGATGTATGTGATTCTTCCTGTAATTTGCATACCTTTACACCTTTATCGCTTCCATAGAGCCCATTGTTTACATATGAACGATGATTAGTCCAGGAATGTCCGTAATCAACTATACTTTCGTGCATATTAGAATAACAGAAATACCCTTCAGTGTGTCCTTTTATTACACAGCATTCAAACTAAAGCGATAATAATTAGTGAATCAAAGTTTATATAATTAACACATTTACAGTTTACGTTGTCTTTACAAGTCTACGGTGTTTTTCTGAATTTAAATATTTTTTTTTTGCAATAGCATATGCTTTGTTTATAAGTAACGAACTTGCACAATAAATATAGTTGGAATAAGATTTGCATACATAAATGAATATTACACTTTACAAATTATATTTGTCATTAGCGCTTTTCTGGATTTACCTTCAGCTTATTGTTGATTTAATTACACTGACATAATATATTCGAATTGTAAATACTTTTGAAATACAATAAATTAACTTGAATAGCTCAAAATAATTGAAAGTCACTACGCAGAAACAGGAGGCATACCGCGCATTGGGCTGCTGTAGTAGGAAGTGTCATGGAGGACAAGGGCTTTCAAATATAACAAAAAGTGGTTATGCCAAATTAAATACCTGAAAAGGACAGGGTACCCTGGGTATAATTAATATCCCTTAAAAAGCAAGAGCTTAGGAATTTAGAACCAACTGTGGCTTACATTTTACCAGGTTTTATTTATTCGTAAACCTGATCATGTTATACTAGATATATACTAGTTTATAAATATATACAATTATAAGAAACAAAGGTTTCAACTCTGTGAAGCAAAGTTGACCTTAGATGGATCAGGTTAAAATCTGTATATCCTTTTCGGTCATATAGGTCCTCAACTGTTTCGGTTCTTATATATCCTTGGTTTCCAAATATTCGACTTTTAGTTACAAGCTTGCCCCAAGAGACCAAAGGCTAGAAAAAAATACTGATCAATCTAAAAAACCGTTATCACAAGGCAGTGATTAGAAAAATAAGACCACTGTTAAGAGGTACCACCTTCTTATGATCAAGAGTGTTCCCTCTCTGACAGCTGAAAGAATAAAATAAAGCACCGGATGAACCTGACATAAAATTTCTATAGAAAAAAGGTAAATGAACATTTAAACCTACACACATGAGAGTTTACATATAGCGTGGTGAATCATGCCAAGTACAACATACATTTCTTCGCGTATCGTAGTCTTCCACATGTATCTATCAAGGAAGCAGAATCGTTGTAAATCGTGTTTTGTGTACATGAACAATTTTCTACTCTTTTTTGTGTATGTTACTTAAAGAACGTCAGTACTGTATTTGAAGAGTTGTCGCTCTCAAATTTAAAAATTGACGTTGACAACGCGTCACTTACAGAATGATTATTTCTATTATAATATTCTAATAAAGTACTCTTTTAATATTCAAAGGTAAACTTTTTTAGTATCACTCAAACGTCGACTACGTTTGCGCAACGTTGTTGCCAATGACTCCGATCGTCCATTGTGGAATTGATGTCAGATGTCATCCTATCAAAATTGGATTACATATCTAATTACATTAAAATATATGATTTTTTCTTTGACTAATAGAAATATAAGAATAAATATTTTTAAATTCTTTTCAGTGTTTTTGATTTATGGAACCGGAAAAAGAATAGTTTTCTTTGTTTTTCTGAAAGAGTGAATCCGCTTTAAATAAGAACTCATTAATAGTATTGAGTTGATGTATGTTTAAGATATAATAAAATGATTACTATATGTACATGTACGTTTGGAGACCAAGAAAAATGCAATTTGAGGAATGTGCTATTTGACCAAGTCTCGAACTTTAATGTGTATTTCATTTTAACCGAAACATTGAGTCTGTTTGCTTTACAACCAGCTACAATGCAACATTATTTTTAGCATATGCATAAGCACGCAGATGTATGCCACATGCATAAGAAGGATGTGTCTACCGTTTTCACTTTCGATTTTTTTTTTTTTTTTTTTTTTTGTGAGGTTTGTGTTGCTTGGTCATTCGTTTTCTATGAAGTGTACTGTAGACTGTCGTTTATCTTTTCATCCTTTTTAGTTTGACTCGGTATTGTCGGTTTCTCGGCGAATTGATAATACTGAGTGCTTCCCCTCCCCCCTTTTTTTGTCAAATACCCACCTCCTGCTTTTTCACCCTAACCCTTACCCTAATCCTCAACCATAATCTTCCAATTTTCACCATCTGATACAGTAACACTTTACCGATATACACGTAGATTTATGTGATTTAAGAACGAATTGTGATATAATTATTTTAACTTGACATTATTTCAATCTGACATCACGTAGCATGACGTTATATCACCGGCATGGTGTTGGAAACTTTTTTTGTCTTAAAGAAACCCAAGTCGATACTTCTCCCTTTGTGAATTTAACAATTACTAACCTTCAACATTAATGTAGTGTAGAATATATGAGTTCCACTTAACTCGGACAGCTCATCTTCGACATGGTTTGTTATCTTGTAAGTAGATAAGTAATATAAATGAATAAAACCCGATAACTCGTTGCAAAATACTAAAATTATATTAAATTTACTATGAAGAGATACAACTATGAAATTATTATTTCTGACAATAAAATATCGTGCCCTCTAAAATTGGTATTGTCTGTTCTACATTCAACAATTGCCGGAGATCGGATGGTTCTACAAATCCTTTACAGTTTTTTTTTATTATTATTATTAATCTGTGACTGATTCATTGACCTAAACCCAACATACTCCTCTACTTTTATACATGTTTCGTACGTTGTGCATACTAGAACATGTATTTCAAAATAGTATCACAAATTGTGAAATTTCTTCATTAATCTGAGATCGTGGAATTTGCATGTTTTGCCAGACCTCTGAAAGAGATAATTATTACATTATGAAAATCTCCTAAATTCCGGTTATTTTAACTCTTTATTTGACAAACCTCTTTCAGCATAACAGCCCAAAATATCGATGCCATTATTTTCAATCCTCCAAGTCCAATAGAAGACAGAAATGCCTGAAAAAATGAATGAAAGTGAGTGTTACTATGTTGAAACTATTTTTGGAATCTAACTTGAATTTCTGTATCTTTCAAAACCGAAGGAATATAACAAAAGTGCCATTGGGTGTTTTAAATAAGCAAGTATGTAATTCGTAATTTGACGAGTAGCATGTTTAAATAGTAAGAAAATTAGAATAATTCAGTCCCGGAAATTACACATTTAGGAATCTTTTCTACATAAGAAAATGCCTGTACCAAGTTAGGAATATGACAGTTGTTATCCATTCGTTTGATGTGTTTGAGCTTTTGATTTTGCCATTTGCTTAGGGACTTTCCGTTTAGAATTTTCCTCGGAGTTCGGTATTTTTGTTATTTTACTATTTTCCACATTGGGATTTCAGTACTGATAGTTTTATATATTTCTCTCATTACCGTATTGAAAATTTTTTACCGATTGCCGTTCTCTTTTACTAGGATATGCATAGTGATAACATTGCTTAATTTGGAGTTGCATCGGTAGATGTGTACACTGAAGAATGATCAACCTGATGACCTCTTTGTCCCCACTCAGACGTGTCTGACTATTTTCAATTCCTTGTACATTGCAGGCTTATAAGTATCCCGAAAGGTAAATTTGTAATTGTCTTCGGTGTAAAATTAGTCAACCTGGGATAATTATGTATTGCGACCTTCAAATAGATACACGTTATATTTAAGAACAAAATAGAATTTGTTCTGATTAAAATAAAAATATATTACTTTATTGTATGGGTTTTGATTATTGTTGAATGTCGTAAGGTGGACTGTAGTAGTTTAAATCATTGTGACTCCGGTTGATAGCTTTTTCAATGGAAATCATACAACATCTCTTTATTGCATAAAAAGTAAAATAACGAAAATACCGAACTCAAAGGGAATTCCAAAACAGAAAATCCTTTATAATATTGCAAAATCAAAATCTCAAACACATCAAACGAATGGAAAACAACTGTCATATTCCTGACATAGTACAGGTATTTCCCAATGTAGAAAATGAATTATACCTTGTTTTATATCTAGCAAAACCTCTCACTTTTATTACAGTCACATAGAGTTCCATTCTATTGACAACAATGTGTGAACAAAACAAACAGACAACAACGTAAAAATGACACAAATTGGGGTACAGCAGTCAACATTGATATATAGTCTTAATCACTATAATAACAAATAACTATTTCAAAATTGAAAAACAAAATGGCATATAGACACTCTATATCTCATATCTGATCTTTGTATAACAGGTTATAAACGTCATCTCTTTGGTTATAATGAGGTGAGGTAAAGTCCATAGGTATTTTCGGTTGTTTGTTTTGGTGTATTTTTTCTTTGTTCTTTGTGACGAAAACAATTATTAGATGAGCTATAATTTGTTCTTCCTCGTGCAAATTGGTTACTACAACTGCAGAACATTTTTAGAGCCCTTTGTCTAACCTATGCAAGTAGTATGTAAGCAATTGCCAATTAACTCAGTAAAATAATTAAAAATAGGGATGTCAACTCGGTGAAGAAAAACTAATCGAGCACTCGTTGGCTTTACCGGGCGATACTCGAGTATAGATATTATCTGGGCAAAGTCGGTTTCTCAACTTTGTTGCGTAATTTATAGTCCTGCAGACGAAGATATTTGTGCTGATGGTACAGATGTGGTGTAATAGCTAAGACAAGTTTCGTTTAGCAAAACGTATAAGCATAGAGAAGCTACTTTCGTATATAGTCGACCTCTTTAAACAGGAATTTTAAATGACAATTAATCGAATATATTCAAAACGTATTTCAATATCGATCAATCAAAGATTGCTATTTAATTTCCAGAGAGTCGCTCTCAATACAAATCTTTTTTTTTAAAGAAGGCAACAACATTATAACATGAATCCGGTTAGTCGAGTATCGTTTTGGTATTGGAGACTCGGTCGGTCTTACTGAGCGATACTCGAGCACTATATAACTCTTTGACATCCCTAATTTAAAATTAAATTTTCATGTTTCATTTATTTCATTCACCTCTTCTCTGGTCTTAGTTTTTACGCTAAGCTATAAATTAAGGCGACAGTAGTTTAAAGATGTTCAAATCTCGTAAATCGATTAAGAAGAGACAAATCAAGTTAAAAAAAAAAGAAATGATGGAACCGCATGGACCCTAAAAGGAGCGAGATCAGATGCGTCAACAGGGTACAATCTCATGTTATGCATGTATCACCCGTCAAGCACATTCACACTCAGTCAAAATATCTCAATCGTGAAAAGGAAACAATCGATAAAATTACAGATCAGACGTCTTTACTTGCAATCCAAGGATATAAGGCCATGACAAAATATCGCCAGTGAGTTGAAACAACAACACATCGGTATAGGTCATTCAATTCGTGATGGTGATCGTATACATCACCTTTAGTCTTAAACAAGTTCCGAATAAACTTGCATTTTTAGAGAGCATCAACTTCGAATTATCCAAATGACAAAAATAGTTTTGTATTTGTCTAATTGGTGCAAGGTTGTGAAGTGTTTGTTTTCTCCAAATGTCTTAATATTATACAGATTTGGTCCATATGCTTCGACCTCTTTGTCATACTCAAGATGAATAATTGTTCATAAGAGCCAACAGAGACGACAGGCAAAGTGTCTCCTGTTATGCATCCAACACTTTCCATGCAAATTCAGACCCAGTCAATAATCTCACTTTTATGAATATGACACAATCGATAAATACAGAGCAGACAACTTCTAATACGGCGCAAGATCTTCTTACCCTTCAGGAGCACCTAAGATCACCCCCATTTTTGGGTGGGGTTCGTGTTGCTCAGTCTTTAGTTTATTATGTTGTGTTCTGTGTATTATTGTTTGTCTGTTGGTCTTTTTTCTTTTTTGGCCATTTTTTGCCATGGCGTTGTCAGTTTATTTTCGACTTATGAGTTTGAATGTATCTTTCGCCTCTCTTTTAAGATGAAGTTTTTGAGTCAGACGCACTTTTCTGTTAATGAACCCCACCTGATGTAAACATGCATGCTTATAATGTGTCCTATCTTTGACTGATATGTACGCCTAAAATAAATGATAAAGTAAAACTTACAACTGTGTGTAGTGCTGTCGATTGTTTTGTTGAACCAACAAGGCCAATTACACTTATCACGATACCAAACGTTCCTATTGCAAGTGTGCAACAGGCAAAACCTGTAAATACGTTGTGATAACTGTAACTGTATACATCCATTCGCCGGAAGTAGTATAAAAACTCTTGATTGGTTATTAGATCACTTCTTATAAACCATAGACTAGTTATTATGAGTGCTACACTGGATAGCTGTAAATTATAGAAAAAAGTGAGATAATATTAGCAAAAATGAAGTGTAATTGATAAAACAAAATTAATCTAATCTTGTGACAATCGCGAGATCAATGAGGGAGCAAATTCCATTTATTACGTCTGTGGTTGGTTCAAGTGGGAATTGAAATCCAGAAACCACCACACTCAAAAGAACAGGCTATGAAGATAGTACCGCGGTAGTTAATTATAGTTACATGTAGGGCTGATATCTGCTAAATACAGGACAACCATTATGAGTTACACATAAGACTTCAACGCATATCTTAAAAGTAGACCATTAGATCGTCAACCTTTATTGTACTCAACTACTTAAGTAGGTTAACCCTAAGTTACTTGATATGATATTTTGAATCATTAATGTTTTATGCCCCCTTCACATACACAGATTTGTCTTACGAATCCTTACGAATCCACAAATCGTATTCAATCGCAAGCATCCATAGATAACTCGCTGGTATCCGTCACAACTTGTTAACATTCTTAAGGATTCATGAAAGGAGAAGCAAATGTTTTGAAATGTCAAAATTCTTCTCATACGATTGTCCACGGATTGATTGTTCCGTAAATAACCTTTCACAATACGTACCTTTCCATAAACTGCTCGCAAGAATCCACACACAAAAATAAACACGATTTGTTACAGTTATAGTGTACGATTTGTTTACGGATTGTTTACCTATAATTACGAAGTGTTTATGTGTTGTTTACGGTTTTATTCGGTTGTCTAACGATGGCTTTACGGATTGTTACATTGAAGGTATTGAAATAATTATTAGCACTTTACGCGTAGGTTCGAGTACTATACGAACATATACGTATACTTTACGTATGCTGTCGTCTTGTTTACGATTTGGGGAAAAGTATATAAGCTGCAAAATCTAACACTTCATTTTCAATTTTAATGTCACATCTCTCCATATCTATTGTATAATATCAACAAGCATGACTCCAAAGAAGAAGGCAGTCAACAATAGTATCTTGCTCTTCGAAGTCTTTTTCTTTTATATGCTATGGTGTCCCTCTGGATGTAAGTTGTTAAATGGTGATATATTGAGATTTGTAAATATATTTTTGGCAACCGTAAGGTATGGTAAATACTCGAAACGTACTCGTAACAACACGTACACAGGTCATAGCTATCAAGCAAAATATTTGATGAATAGTAATAGTCCATGATATACTTGCAATAAACCGTAAAAAAACTCGTATGATGCCCGTACATTGCTCGTCGTTATCCGTGACAAATCGTAAATTGAAAAAAAACTCGTAATAATCCGTAATAAACCGTAAATGGCTCGTTATAACTCGTACCAACTTGTAACAACATTAAATTCGGTAAAAGTTGCAAAATCGTAAAAATCTGTGAATTTGTGCGATCCGTAAGTAGCCATAAGAAAACATCCGCGTACGTGAAGGGTGCATTATTGTTTTTCATGTAATAAATAAAATGATTTAAAGTATTTATTATTAACCACAAAGTAAAATTCTCTTTGGAGAATTGAAGGAAAACACATTATGAAAAATAAAGCTGTTTCTTTATCAGTTTATCCCATTTGTTCAATCGATTTGTCGATGAAATATATCTAATTAAAATTGATTGAGAAAAAAAATGAAAATCTAATAAAAACATAAATAATCGAAAAGAACTGTTTTGTTTTAGTTGCCTATAAAATGACTACCTACCATGTTTATCGATTTCACAATAACTGACACAATGCATATGGGTGTTCTGAAAATAGACAACTAAAATAACAATTTTTTAATTGTTGCATTCTTAGCGCGTTTTTGGATTGATATTCATCGGGAACACTCACGCCAAAAAAATTGACAGCAAAAAAAAAAAAAAAAATGAAAACAACTGCACGTTATAGATTTCATGCGTCCGAAGCGCTTTTCTGGACTTACCTTCATCAGGAACGTTCAGAGCCGAATATTTTATAGCCAAGACTGTATAAGAATCGAAATAGTTGAAGAGCTATATAACCAAAAAAGACATAAAGAAATGCCTAAACCATTTAATGTCAACTTTGCCTGAGGGAGTTGAAACCTTAGTTTCTTTATAATTTCAAAATCTATCAACGGACAATTTTAGAAAGGATTCTTATAAATCACATTTAGGTACTGACTATTGTGGGTCTCATTGGGGTCTAAGCGTGACGCGGGATTGCCGATTTTTTGTAAGCGTGACACGTGAAAGTCAAATTATTGTGCCGTGAAAACGGGAAATGAAGTGTAGCGAGATACCGGAAATTCCAAAAAAAAAATGAGAATTGCTTACGTACATAGTGTAAGCGGGATACAGGAATCTGACAAAACAGTAAGCGGGATCCGGGATCAGAAACCCCCAATGAGACCCCCACTATTGAGCTGAATATATCATTGGGGACTGACAGTCCACCAGTAGAGGTATCGACCCAGTGCTGTAAAAAAATAAAACAAACGTTATAAATGTTCTGAGTCCGAGGCACTTTTCTGCATTTACATTAACATTCCTCCGGAAGGCTCAAGATATGTACAAATAATCTACTTTTTAAGAAGTTATAGAATCAAATTAACACACAACAAATGTGCCTATAAATAAATAAATAAAAACTATTTTTATTTATTAATTTCGAATGACTTGAACAGTACCAATTAACTCAACAAGATGCGCATTTCGGTAAAAAAGATGTTTCTTCGGTAATGATCGAGGCCATCATATGTGAAAAAACGTATACAAACGTTGAAAAACTAATCAACCAAAAAAGACCTAAAGTATTTGGACAGGAATCATAGGGAGATATGTTCTCTTATTTTATATAATTCAAACATTGTATAACGAAGTTACCTATTCCAAGTTTCCTTCAGGAATTTTAAGAACGTACGAAAAACTCCATATTCCTTCATACAAAGAAGATATCTCCTTTCTGAAGACAGCTTTTTGACACCTTTGCTTTTCATTTGTTGTTTTATTACTGTATAATCTGCAGCAACAATACCTATAATCTACAAAAAAGCAACACGAGGCTCTATTGGTTGTTTTATTAATGTATAATCTGCAGCAACAATACCTACAATCTACAAAAAAGCAACACGAGGCTCTATTGGTTGTTTTATTAAAGTATAATCTGCAGCAACAATACCTACAATCTACAAAAAAGCAACACGAGGCTCTATTGGTTGTTTTATTACTGTATAATCTGCAGCAACAATACCTACAATCTACAAAAAAGCAACACGAGGCTCTATTGGTTGTTTTATTACTGTATAATCTGCAGCAACAATACCTACAATCTACAAAAAAACAACATGAGGCTCTATTGGTTGTTCTGAATAAATTTAACTTAAAAGAAAACTATAGGTTGGTGTTAGTATTAGACATTTTTATGAAAATTTGCTGCTTTTACTTGTCAAATTGACCAGGCTGTCAATTTTGTAATTTTTGGATTTTATTCTCTTTACTTTTAGAACAAAAAGCATATTATTTGAAATTCTTTGTTATACATGATTGAAAAAATACACAATAGAATTTTGAAAAGAAAAAAAAAAACTGATATGGGATGTAAAAGTTTGTTAAAATCATTTCTTTGTATCCCATTTTCTCAACATTTTGGCTGATGACCCTTACCGGATTGGTGATAGAATTTGAAAATTCTATTACTCAAAAACTACTTATTGTAAGTACACAATTTATTTCAAACAGTTAAGTTTGATTATAATATTTTTTAAATTCATTAATATTTTCCACTTGTATCACATGTTTGGGAAATAAATTTTCGAACGAGACTGAAACAGCAGGAGATTACATCCTTTATAACTTTGACCCGGACATATCACCGACATCATAATGACTGAACCGACGTTGATAAGATTGACCCGAACTTGTCAAGTCATCTTCTGGTTTAATGGTGAAACAAAACAAAAAACATGTAAACTACGCAAATACAACCCGATAAATCGATTATACTATAACATACCTGACAAAGAAAGCATACTATTATTATTCCAAGATAAACCTGAATATATAAATTCATTTTCTCCGAAATGAGGTCAAAACATCCAGGAAAGTTCACACCATGGTTAGAATCAACACCGCTACATGTATTACCAGTTCCGTTGGTGCCACAACATTCCAACTAAAATGCAAAACAAAAGCAACATCGCTATTGAATGTACATATATGAACTATTGCGGTACGAAAATACCGTTCAAACTTCGGTATCTAATTGAAAGGACAGCACTACTAGATATTAATTTAAAGGATTTCTCCTAAAAACATATTTCTATTATTTGTTGATGATTGAAATAATGCTGTTCCATATGACCGTATATAAAAGACACATTTATTCTAATTCACTATGATAGTACTTGAGGAATGGTCAAGGTTGTAACGTCACTGTGATAGTATTGTTTTTGAATTTACTGTTTTTAATCTTAAAAAATCGTTTTCAATGCATCTCCCTCATGCAAAGCTTTGATTCCTTTTCCAGTTTTTGCTAAACTTTTGGGACCTTTACGGTAATTCAAGCTCTTCAAAGTTTGCACAAGGTTTTGGATTTTCAAAACTGTTGGTCTCGAGCATCACTGAATAGACATTGCCTGTCAACATGGTGCAGTAAAATATGTACCGTTAATGTTTTAAGTTTATAGCCACCATTTAGCGTGCAGAAAAATCTGAATAACTAGATGCTTCAAATCACATTTAAATTAACCATAAAATTAACTTTGTGTGGATTTTCCTCTGTGTCCAGCATTTACGTGAAAAGAAAAAAAAAATGTAAATAATGTTCTGTTTAATATTGTTATTTAAAAAATAATTTGTAATTTACATTCTATTCCATGTGAACTTGCATGCATTTAATAAACTTTTTAAAGATACGTACAGTATTATATAAATATCTCCAGTTGTGATCATACCCATTTAAAAGGCGGCTTCCGGAATATCTTTTGAAAAAGGTTTCAATGTTTTCCTCCAGTGCATGGTTTATCTATAAAGTATGCAATTATTATTCACATTTTCGTATATTTTTTTCCCACAAATTCACGATATGCAATGTGAGTGATGCATAGTGAAGGTCTGCGTTTGATGTTTTCGAGACGATTAACAAAATAGTGCATGTGTTATGTTTGCTATGCGGTATGGGGTTTGTTCATTATTGAAGTCCGTGCGGTGATCTATAGTTGCTCACTTCAACGTCATTTCATGGGAAATCAGATATATACACATATAGAAATAAGAAGACGTGGAATGAGTGCCAATGAGACAACCCTCCATCCAAGTCGCAATGCGTAAAAAGTAAACAATGTAAGTCAAAGTACGATCTTCAACACGGAGCCTTGGCTCACATCGAACAGCAAGCTATAAAGGGCCCCCAAATGACTCGTGTAAAGCAATTCAAACAGGAAACGGTCTAATCTATATAAAAAAAACAATAAACAAGTAACACTTAAGAACCACATCAACAAACGACAACCACTAAACAACAGGCTCCTGACTTAGGACAGGTGCATACAAATGCAGCGGGTTTGTTCGAATATCAACTGTGATTATATGCTGTCTTTGCCATAAAAGTCGACGTTGCTTGTTATTTAGACTCTGACCGCACCAAAGGATTCATAATGAACTATGACGGTATCATTTATTTAACCATTGTCTTTTAATAAATAAATAAATAAATAAATAAATAAATAAATAAATAAATAAATAAATAAATAAATAAATAAATAAATAAATACATTTTATATCAAGAGGATAATCCTATTAGTTAAAACTAATCGTCCTGACAGTTAACAAAAAAAAAACCATATACATGTCTGACAGCAAGAGTCACGCATGCAAGTGTGGATCCATAATGGAGATCAGGAATGAATTTGGAATAGTATTTTTACATGGTCGCTGAAATCCTCGAAAAAGATGTCGTCACGTTTGTGAGTGTTAAAAAAAGTTTGTTTTTACAGCCAGTAATCTATACATCATTTTTTTCTTGAATTCCTATAAAAAAAACATTCAAATTAATTTGTTTTTACGAAAGTAAACTTAGTCAGAACCTGGTTTATCAGCGGTTTTAGTTTGTTGCTGTATATCATATTTGTTTTTCGTTTATTGTTTTGTACATAAATCAATACAATAAATTAAGATTCATGTGGGTTATGGATTTTGCTCATTGTTGAAGGCCATATGATGGACCTTAATTCTACGCCATTAGGTCGCAGGTAGATATACATGTATGTCTCATTGGCAATCATGCCACATCCTCTTGTTTTTATACGAAAATTTCACTGTCAATTTTCAAATGCGGATTCAAAGATTTGAAAAATGGGGGCCTACATCGAGACAACGTTAGAAATATATGTAGCTCCATATATTTACCTCATACATTAACATGATTAACACTGTGCAAAGAGATAATGAAACCTGTTGAGACAATCTTGACTTAGTGTCAACAAACAGGCAGTGTGAGTACTATAGGATAAAAAAATCACTAGTCTGAAAGCCGCCAATAAGAAATATTAAATGGCAAAATGGCAAAACATGAGCCAAGAATATGCAAATATAAAAGACTGAAATAATCCAAATAAATCCTATAATCAATTTGTTACAGAAGTTGGAAGGGGGTATTTTATAAACCATTTTGGATTTAAATAGACGAATATTTTATATTATACTTATATGATTGTTCGTGAATGATTGAATGATAAATGGTGACTCTATACCAAAAGCAAACATTAAGACACGCATATTCATGACAATAGTATGATAATACCCTAGTTAGAACTTAGCAACACGCTGATTCGGATTGCTAACGTGCTTGCTCACTGTACGACTGTCAAACGTCCTTCTACTCGGACGAGAAAGTATTCTGATTTTGAATAAACCGGCCACGTATGCATATACCAGTTTAGTGCCTGAGACGCAGCAAATCTTTGTGTGATCTGGTCAGCGATTACATTCACTACTGGTCCTCCTTTAGCAAGTGACAAACACCCTACATATAACACGTGATCACACTGCTTAAATATTTGTTTATGATAGATTTTATGTTAAGCTAATAGTGTATGCCTTTAATATATGTTTTATGAAGGGAGTACAAGCAACACGGAGTATGAAAGGAAACAAAATAAAAATTGAGAAATGTCGTATCGTATGGTGGCATATATCTGCCCCTACTTGTCACTCAGTTAAGCCGTCTTAATTAGCAAAATAAGTCGACTTGTCAGTTAGCTTATTCTACTTTTCACTTAGTTAAGTATATTTGTCAGATAATAAAATGAAACTATTTTTTAGAGAATAAAAACACCTTTTAACGTTTTTGCCCATTTCATGACATGTAAAAACAGACTTATATATCTGACAAGTGCACTTAACTAAGTGACAAGTATACTTAATTAAGTGACAAGTATACTTGGGTATCTGACAAGTCTACTTGTCACTTAATTAGGTATACTTGTCATTTAGTTAAGTGCACTTGTCAGATATATATATAAGTCTGTTTTTTAAATTCTTTCGATTCATGTATGTTGGTATAGAAATACTTGTCCAATAATCAAATTCTTACCCAATAATACATTAGTGACCAGAGAACTATTTCCACTATACAGATTAACATAAAACACAAGCAGATACAGATGTACTACAAAAAAAAAGACTGATATACATTTTAAGTCTTGATGACAACCCCTCCTCCACCCTTCGGATGTTCTTTTATAATTTTGTTTTATTAACATTAAACTAAGTTGACACATTTTAGTGATACTAACGATTTACAAACGAAATAAGTCATACATAATAAGTTAGCTTCCAAAGATACCCAGCTGTTGTTATTGTTAAAAGTTGAGTTTTGTCTGTTTTTTTTTTTCATTATAATTATGTATTTATTTATTTTTTTTTTTTCGTTCTGTTTGCCGGCAGCCCTATTTTAACAACTTATCATTTTTGTTCTCTCTGCTATTTGCATCAAGGCGTGAATGTATACATATACATCTTTTTCTCTTGGTGAACACGCTTACAGTGTATATCGTTTATTTGCTGGTTCATTTGATACTACTTTCTCCATGCACGTACATCAAATCGCTACATTTGTACCTTGTATTGTAGTCGGTCAACTAACCAATTTTGAAAAAGATTACTTCTCTAATTGCCTAAAGCGTTCTCTGCATTGAAGTTTATTTTTTATCATTCCCAAAAAGTAAATCCGGTAGTACGAAATTTTAACAATTACTGCTACAACCATGTGCTATCACTGTTGTTTAATGCGCATGTCTTTGTTTCTATGGTTGCAAACACCCGTTACTTCTTTTGACTTTTCTTGTGTCTTTTCTTTTAACGTTGATTCCGAACTTGTGAGAAAATATATAACATATACTTACAGCGATCAAGAAGTTTTTTCTTTTATTTAAACCAGCATATATACCAAATATACCATTAACAAACTCAAATACGAAAAACACGACAGTCGAAAATACTACTCCCCGGATAAATGTCCCCAGCTGCATGCCATAGATATCCATACTGTTGAGACCAGGAATTACGTCATCGTCAATGAGGTGGTCACCGTACTTCATATAAAACGCCAGCCCTATGCACCCTAATCCAAAGAACTGAAATAGATTGAAAATTCAGTTACCCATTATTTACTTCTAATCCGTATAGAGTTATACTTAATTATCCTTTACCCTAAACCTTATCCTAACCCAAGGAAGTCCTATAACATAAGCCATTACAGATCCATATCAACATTATTTTGTTGGATTCAGCACTGACAGTACACATAAAATATCCGATAAAAAACGTTGAAGGCAAACGATATGGACACACAAAGGCTCACATTATAGGACTAAACCCATACCAAACCCCCTAAACCTAGTTCAAGTCCTAACCCTAAAACTCAACCCTTACCGTATAAAACCTAATCCCATGCACCATGGGTGAACCCTAATCCTAATGTATAGGAACCCCTGAAGTAATAGAAGGGCTTTACATAACATCAATATGTCGAGAAAAAAATGCAAGATACATTCAATCGCCATCTAGATTTGAACAAAATGGTCTTAATTGTCATGTATACAATATAATAAAGTTGCCGAGAGTCTGATCTTCGTAAAATAATTAACACCAATCACACGCGCCTTGAATAAATTATAAAATATAATTCAAGTAAGGATATTGACACGAGGGATTGTAACATATTTGATAGATTCATGTAAACAAAGTTTGGTTTTTTTTTACTTTTTTTTCACATCTCCCATGCAGGGGCCTTTTATAGCCGACTATACGGTATGGGTTTTTCTAATTGTTGAAAGCTGAACTGTAGCCTATAGCGGCAACTGCTTACATCCACCTCATTAGAAATCTGGTGTATAGTCGTCTAATTGACAAACATACCACATCTTCTTATGTTTATAAGACAAGCATAGCTGTGGTAAGAATCTGGTATAGAAATAGAAATTACAATGTTCCATGCAAATGGGGAAAAAAATCACTATCCTGTACCAAAGCGCGTGTGACATCAACATAATACTGGAATCATTGATTTCGTACTTTAACGCGAACGAAAGCTTCAAACGATCTTAGTTGACCTTATTGTGGAAATGTCCGATGACCTTCTCTTAAAATACCCATCGGTGTCGCTCTTTCCATAAAAATAAAGTCGAGTGGCTAATATTTCATGTATATTCAGGAGAACAGCATATTTACAACAGATACATTTTGCAAAGTTTGTCGGCCGAGATGGATGGTTCAAATTTCGACTGCCACTTGCTAATGAACGTTAGTTGATTATCTGTAGAAACAGCCCACATACAAACCCCTCAAAAAGTAAGGGTTGAGCTTCTTTTGCGTGAATCTAATTAGTATATGTGATATAATCCCGTGAATGAGAAGAACAAACTCATTACATCTTCCCAAGTAATCGACAGTTATCAGTCAATTTACATAATATCACAAGGGCTCGTATTTGTGTCTCATAATTGCAATTAATTATTTTGCTCTTCATGGTCCTTTTAATTGGAATAAAGTTATCTTATCTTATCTTATCATATAGGCTGGTTTTAGTCGGAAGCATACACCAGGCGACTGGTATGCGTTCTAGTTTGTGCATTAGAAGGACTAATTCACGGTATAGAACGAATACCAGTCGGGTGGCTTTCTGCCTAATGAACAATCTACAGAACGTATACCAGTCGATTGGCAGAAATTTCCCACCCAAAAATATTTATGATATGCACCCCTGTGATTAATGTGACACGTGAGTTTGAGTACGAATCGGAGGTTTTCAAAAATGCCCAGACATTTGAAATTAATTCATCTGAAATAGAACAGCCTGTTTTCCGACAACATTTATATTTTTCGACCCCCCTTTTTAACTGAAAATAAGAAAAGCTAACTTACCCTAACAACAACAGAGGACAGCATAAAAACTGTAACCGACACCGATAATCTCCCATTAAACAACTTCTCCAGCATTTTCGTGTTTCAGTGTTTATCCAAATATGAGTGCACTTTACATGCACATACACATAAAATTTATATATGGTACTACTTCCTACATTGAATTAAAACCGATTTTTATCTCAAACAAGTAATTTAACTACATCTAAATCAATGGACTTTTAAATCTTTATGCTATCCAGACTATTTGTTTAAAACTGATACCATAATGGCACGTGTCCCGTTGTCAAACTACATTTAAAATAATTTAAGTTTTATATAATATGCAACTTTTATATAAACAATTTAAACTACACACATCTGATGATTTACGTTTCATTCAGTATTGAGTTTTATATACAGAATATATAACCGCGGAATGCAATCCGACCTTATAAAGGATAATACACACAATTAAAATGTACAAAAAAAAAAGAAAAAAAAAGAAGGATTTAAAAAATTAAAATATATATAGTATAAAATTGAGAATGGAAATGGGGAATGTGTCAAAGAGACAACAACCCAACCATAGAGCAGACAACAGCCGAGGTATAGTCTATTTCAGAACAATAATGAGGTAATTAAAAAATAGCTGGACACTTTTTGTACATGTCCTTAACTAAACTTATGCTGTAACGTGTGTTAATCCATTTATTAGGAAGTCAATATATCACTAGATGAGAAAAACGGACGTGTTACAAGCAGTAGGAATACACCACTGAAAATCCATTATCTGCTCAAAGATCCCCGAATATGAAATGTAACTACAATGAACTACGCACAATATCGCCACGTGCAAACATGTAAAGCACATTTTGTATCCTGTTTTCCAAATTCCAAAAATCAAGTGAGTGGTCATAAGATTGGTAACAGGACTGTGCAGGATTTTTTATGATGTGTTTTATATGTTTCATAGTTACGGCAAATAGGCTAGATAGGTTAACAAAGAGGGAGGGGTAGGACTCAGTGCACATCAAATTGTTTCAACCTCATTCCATTCTGTGCTGGTACTACGTCAGGCTACAGGATCATGTGTCGTTTGTTGAAGTTCATCTTTGTAAGTTTATCTTCTCGCAAGAGTCGGTTGTTTGTGGTTGTTGTATGTGCTGTATATCATATGTGGATTTGGTTTATTGTTTTGTAAATAAATCAGGCTGTTAATTTTTTGTTTGAATTGTTTTATACATGTCATTTTAGGGCCTTTGATAAAAAAAATAATAAAAGGCTCCCCAGGGCGCAGCTTGATACGCCCGCCGATGTTGAACCCTAAACAGGGGCAAGTATGGACACATCTTCAAGCTTGATACAACTCTGAATTTGGGTTGTGATCAAACATTTGACAAATCCTAATTTTCTGACACAGAATGAATGTGGTCTAAGAACTTAAAGATTTGAAATTGATATCTATTATGGGCCAATATTCAAAATCTAGATACACGGTTATATTCAGAACCGCAAGAATTTTAATTTTTGATAAAATCAAACAAAGTTTAATTTTGGACCCCTTTGACCTCAATGTAGACCATGATATGCAGTTCTTTTTTGGAAATTATTGTTATCCTTTTAATATTGCCATCATTTTTTAGTGAAATCCGTAGTTTTTCGTTCTTCATTCCGGTCGAGCAACTTGGTAGAGCCTTTTAAATTTTTTAATTTGCTCGCCTTCTGCTTATGCATCACATATTTGCCACTGGACGTTAAGCAAACAAAAATTTAAAACATCCTATTGCTGCGGATGACGAAGTAATTGTCTTATAGATATTCCTTAAAAAAATAAATATTATGTAGCAACACATTGTACATTTAATTGTTATTCAATTAAAAGCATATCGTTTTTAAACCTCCTTCTCTTTCATTGATATTGGTACAGTTCTTTAAATATGTGTGGCCGAATTTTCAATGATGTATTTAAACTGTTTGTTATTGTATATTCCATTACATGTCTTTAAACAAGAAACGTCGTTCATTATTAATAGTATTAGAACAAGTATTGATAATGTCAGAGGTCGTTTTATTATTGGTGTATTTGAACTAGTTGTATTATACTTCAATATGCACATTTCAAGATAACATCATTATTTCTAATCCTTTTTGCATTCTTCAATTTTTCTATTGTCTTTGATATTTAAATATTGTTAAGTTTAAATATATCTATCTTCGGGCACACATGAAGGTAGTTGTAAATAAGCAGTTCACATTACTTTGATTGTATACAAAAGTATACAATGACTCATTTTGTCTGAAAAAAATTAAACATAAATTAAATGGACAAATAAATAAATGAATGATTTTTGAAACTTAAAAAGTACGCTTTTATAACGTCCTTAAAAAGATCAGAAGCAGCACATCTATTGTCTTAATTTTTTTGTCTTATTACAATCAAAATTTGTTCTTAACACACAACTTTACCTCACATGTTCTATTCTAAAAAGTTAGAATGCACTCTTATAAGTTATCATCTGTAATTAAACTGAATACACGAAAAAAGTAGAACGCCGGCTAGCTTCACAATAGTGAAAAAAGTCAATTGTTTCATTTTTAAAATTTATTTACTGTACTTCAAGTAAAAAATTAACATTAATACTCAGCATACCCATTCTCCATACAAGTAGCACTGAATTTTAGTTAAGTCAACGTTTTACTCATTGTTGAAGGCCGTACGGTGACCTATAGTTGTTAATTTCTGTGTCATTGGGTTTCTTGTGGAGAGTTGTCTCATTGGCAATCATACCAAATCTTCTTATTTTTGTATATGAATAATAATGAAAGGACCAGACAGGTTTACATCCGGGCCTCTTGTCCGAGGTTTTTGCTCGATTGACTTAACAAGAACCGGGTATATCGGAAAGAATTTTTTGTTAAACTTTTTATATTGTTTTTTTTTTTTTCTTTTTTTCTATTGAGTGTAAATAGATATAAGAAGATGTGGTATGAGTGCCAATGAGACAACTCTCCATCCAAGTCAAAATTTATAAAAGTAAACCATTATAGGTCACAATACGGTAAAGTATATCTTTGTTCAACACAATACTTATTTATAACAGTACACATGATCATGGTATTTTGAACAGATAAAAACAATGAATTGTGCATAAAGCGGTGATTGGGCCATCTTCAACTTTTGGTAAAAAAACTCATTTAGACTTTGAGATGAAGAACAGTTATAAAAGCTCTGTTCCTTTGCCTTTGGTTTCGTCATATGCCTGCAATGATTTTGTGTCATGAATTAATACTCATATTAATTGCTTCTCGATTATATCATGTTCGCTTTTCGACATAAACATTTACTGTGGCTTTAGGCCTCATTTCTTCTCTGAACATGAAAGAAATGTTTAATAACACCGATTATGCATAATTTAAACATTCGAAATTCAATAACAATTATTCTTTCGCTATCAACACGCAGCAAAAAACACTCGCATTTGTATTAGTCCCAAGGCGCATACATGATAGTTAGGCGTTTCCGTGATGGGTAAAATAGGAATATAATACCCTGTGACAAATACTATCGTAGTTACGGTTGACACGAAGTATCCTTGTCCACATACCTCTGAGTTATGAACGAAATCAATTTAACGAAAGTTAAAAACGTGTACAATTATACACTGCAAGGAGATCAACCAATCAAAATCCAAGATTGATACCAATACTAAAGATCTATCTATCTAAATAATCATAACGTATATAATTTATAGATCTGATTTTCTTTTCTTTTTCTCAATGGCATATATCATAAAAAGACAAAGGACAAATAAACATCAACGAAAGGAAAGGAAAGGTTAAGGAAAACATCCGGTCTTACTGAAATTGGTAGAAGTATGAAGACTTAATTTATTTACGATAATTAATAAATGCCGGCAGCGTTTGCAAAAGAGGATATCAAGGTGACGAATCTAGAGATTTGTGTTCTGAAAAATTCGGATTTCTAAGAGAAAAAATGTCAACTATTTTGAATTTGTTTTCTTATTGTTTTGCTTGTTTGCCAAGTTTTGGCCTTTACATTGTTCGCTTTCTTTTTTCTTTTACGGTCCATATCCAGTTGTGTTAAGCCTTTTAGAAAAGTTCAAACTAAATTTTTAAAAGAACATAATTTTTCCAAAATTGAATAATGTAACGATATATATATTATATATCACTGAAGAGACATTAATTGTCGAAATCCGGATATGGTGTACAAAAAATATTTGCACCTTTGTTTGCGGTATACCATCTTCGCCGCAAGTTTATTGTTTTCTGTTTGGTATTAAATTTAAAGTTAAGATCCATTTATTACACCTTGTGATCCGTTTATTTGGCAATCGCCAATGGCAGTCAGCAGGATTTAAGAACATTTGTTGTTCGACCTGTTAGTCAAATGCGTTTTGTTAAAATATACTTTTTCACTTTTTTGATCTTTTGGAAAATGTTGTTTGTGCTGTATTTAGACCCCTCTAACAAGAAATTTGTTTTGCATGCACACGTATAAAAATTGCGGTTTTTATCCAACGCAATCATAGGTTTGAACGTTGTTTTCAATTTAGACTTGTTTATAATTTTTCGTTTGGGCTTGTATTATATTTGCCTTCGGGTTTATATGATCCGTTCATCCTATTTTGACTCCTCAAAATTCAAGAGTCTATCCCAAATTGAGGTAAATTATGTGGCCTTCCAATAACCGTTTTGATTCCTAACATCACTGAAGAGACATTAATTGTCGAAATCCGGATATGGTGTACAAAAAATATTTGCACCTTTGTTTGCGGTATACCATCTTCGCCGCAAGTTTATTGTATATATATATACAAGTCTAAATTGAAAACAACGTTCAAACCTATGATTGCGTTGGATAAAAACCGCAATTTTCGGGTCGAACAACTGATGTTCTTAAACCCTGCTGACTGCCATTGGCGATTGCCAAATAAACGGATCACAAGATGTAACAAAACAGATCTTATTATTAATCGTTGTCAAATTTGAAATATTTACAAATTTAGATCGTTCAGTGCTGTTTATTTGGAATTCTTATTGACGCAATCGTTCTTGTAACATCATAACTGTCGTCACCGTTAAAGCTTTAGAATTGTGCTAGTTCATATCGCACATTATTATTTTTATTTAAAGCATATATTTGAACTCTCTGTTGTAATTAGTCATATAACCTATGTCGTGTTTAACACATATTTAGAATTGTGCAAGCGTCTTACCTGATGTTCGGTTTGGTTTTTTTTTATTGTATAAATTTCCATTTTCCATTTTCCATATACCTTTTGTTGTTCAACTAAAAAATGTGACATTCAGTATACGGAATGATTAGTACTAAATCTTACTAACAGTTTCGAGTATTTGATTGTCATGGTAACTTTGTTTACAATTCTCTTGGACTCAGTACAATTATAGAAAGAGAGGCGAATTATACCAACGGGACATTCAAAGTCGAAAATAAACGGACAACGCCATGGCTAAAAAGGTAAAAGACAAACAAACAACAGTACAAAAAACACAACATAGAAAACCAAAACCTCGGGGTGATCTCCGGTGCACCGGAAGGGTGAGCAGATTCTGCTCCACATGTGGCACACTTATAACCTCACAAGTTTTCAATAAGGCGTGCAGGTTTCCATATTTCAATGATGAATGTTTTACGTGACAGTAATGTGTACTGAACGTGACCAATGTGTGCAGTATACTCCTGGTGTTAATTAACTACTAAATATTTGGAAATAAAAACATGAGTTATATTAATTTATAGATGTTTAAGTCTAAATATAAAAGTAGGAAGATTTAGTATGATGGCCATTGAGACAACTGTCCATTAGAGACCAACGTAGAAGTTGGCAAATATTATAGTTACCATACTTCAACAATATACTTTTTTTTATTACCGACATTTTGACTACAGAGTGTATAATTTCGGTTTTGTGTTTCTTTACACGACACAATCAATGCAAAACAGTTTTTATTTCCCCAAGTTGCATTGATTGTAAGCTTTACTTCTTTTAGTTTCTCCTACTTGACCTAGTACTAGAATGTCCTACCACAAAGAAGGTAACCCACCAAAAAGTTATACACTTCGAAGTCAAAAGCTGGTAATATGAAAAAAAGTGTATTAGCAAATTAATCTATACCTATACCGCATATTTTCAGTTTAGTAAATATAATTTCCATGGTGTCCAGCGAAAAACATAACAATTATAATAGTCAAATTACATTCTGTTTTATGTTACAATTATAAAAAAAGAACTATGATACATAGTAATCACAAAATACAGAATAAATAAAACACATATTTACAACTCAGGTTAAATATCAACATTTCAGCACTATATAACAGTCTTGGTAGCAATGTCACCTTTCACAGGGATGTCAACACTATTTTTCAATAAACTGGTACCCCTTTTTTCAAGAGCAACGACAGTCAGTTTTCATTGAAACCGGAATCCAGTTAATCTTAAATAACATTTGAGCACGAGAACAAAGGTGTATAATAGCTGAACAATTTCCGGAATAGCAGTAAGTGTTGACAAATAAATTGTAAGGTAATAATCTGTACAAAAATGTCTTGATGGATTTCTAATTTCACTACTCCGTAGTTTTTGGATGTGTGCCTTTCATTATCTCACTAGCACTTGGATAATATAGTTTGTCACTGTATACGGTGAAATGCATTGTCTAGCTGTTAAATGCATTCCTTAGGAATTCGTCGTTAATAAATAAATAATGAAACAAATAATCTCATTTTCATCATGCTGGATCAGGGGGTGCTCCTCTTGTGGGTAAGGTCAAAGTTGTTTTTATTAATGTTGTGGTCAATAAAGTTGTTGGTTCAACAGTTGATGTTAGTAATGTTGTACTTTTGATTGGAGCAGAAGTTGTTTCTGTTGTCGTACTAGATGGTGTGGTGTGTATGTTTGCTGTACTTGAACGAGAAGTTGATTGTGTGGTCGATTCCGTTGTCGCTGAAGTTGATTCACTTGTAGTAGTTGATTGAGTAGTAGATGTTGTCGTCGTGTGAACATATGATGTAGTTGAAGGTGTGCTCGATGCCGTTGTCGCTGAAGTTGTTTCACTAATAGTAGTTGATGGAGTGGTTGGTGTTGTCGTCGTATCAACATATGAGGTAGTTGAATGTGTGCTTATAGGTGTTGAAGTTGTTTCACTTGTGGTGGTAGTTGATGGTGTAGTAGATGTTGTCGTCGTATCAACATTTGAGGTAGTTGAAGGTGTGCGCATAGATGTTGTAGTTGAAGTTGTTTCACTTGTAGTAGTTGATGGTGTAATAGGTGTTGTCGTGTCAACATATGACGTAGTTGAAGTTGTTGTAGCTGTAGTCGTTTCGCTGGTAGTGGTTGACGGAACAGTTTGTGTTATAGTTGTACTGTCAGGTAACGAAGTTGATGATGGGTACGGAGTTGTAACCGAAGTTGTTTCACTAGTTGAAGTTGATGGAGTCGTCTGTGTTGTAGTCGTGCTAACAATTGATGCAGTTACTGGTTGACTTGACGTTGTATCGGATGTTGTTACACTAGTTAAAGTTGATGGAGTAACGTGTGTGGTCGTCGTAGTTGATGGAGTGCTTAGCGTTGTTGTAGCTGATGTAGTTTCACCAACGGTGGCTGACGGAATAGTATGTGTTGCCGTAGTGCTTACATATGGCGTAGTTAATGTTGTGGAGGTAACTGGATATTGCCAAGTAACAGGTACTATAGGTGGCATTGTTCTCCACACCCACGGTGATGGTGTCGTCGAACGAACCAATGCAGTAGTTGCGTCTTTGTATTGTGCTGTAGTTGTTTCCTTTGATTGTGGTGTAGTTATGACAGGTAACCATACAGTGGATGGTTTAGTTGTCGGGGGTATTGTGATTGTGGGAAGTGTTTGAAAATCAATTGGAGGAAGTGTTTGGCTATTCCAATATATTGTTGTCTGTGGTATGGTAGTTTGTTCTGTTGGCATTGAAACAAAAATACCATTGTTCGACATGGTACTTTTTTCAGTTGACCTATCGGTGGAGGTCATGGGTCTCTTTGTTGTAGATTTTGTAATCGATTTAGTAGGTGAAAAAATAGGTAATGTCTGCAATGAAGGCTTCACGGATGAATAACGTTCCCAGTCACCCGAATCACATCGAAAGAATTCAACCTGAAACATAAACATCGAGATTAACATAAAGTGGATTGACAAGTTCAAACACAGTTTACCCTCTTAAGGATGTTCGCTACTCTGTTTCAAAATAACAAGCTTTTTAAAAGACTGTTATAAATTGATAGTATATAGATAACGGAATTAAAAAGCAGAAAAAAATAAAGTGTCCGTGTGCTTGTTTTTGAGATATAAGCCATTGAAAATTCTCTCTAGATTTTTCATACTATTAACATTAGCACTTTTGTTCTTTCAAAAACAATGAAAAAACTACATGGATTTTACAAGATTTTCAAATATGGCTTTTTAAACTATATGTTACAAAATTATGAAAGAAAAATAGGGTTTAGTGGGCAAAATTTGAAATGGCACTACATGGATAAAACCAGAGGATTCCGAATATCTGACAAAAATTCAAAAACAAGAGGAGCGAACATCCTTAATGGCTGTCAGTGGTTATCCTAAGGCTTTATGATATCTTAATAGTTTTATCTTTTAAACAAATTGTTGTGTAATACACATCTTTGATAGTAATTGTTTTATTCATTCACGTTATTCCAGGTTCTTGGCTATTTACAGCTCGTCATGCAGACATTGTGTGATTCTGTGATGATTGCGGTGATATATGATAGAGAGTCTGGACGGGGTTTACAGAATAGAGAATAATGGTCCAATAATACAGAAACATTAGCCAAAACATACAGAATAAAGAAAAATAGGCCACAAAAATAATATGAGTAAGTGCTGTAATATAAAGAATAGAGAAAAAAAGGCCTAAAAAATTGAAGAATTCAAAAATAAATAATCCCCCATCCAGACCCTCATAATAGATTTCGGTTTTTTCGTTTATCATTGGGTTTACTTTCCCGCTGTCGTTTCCCGACGACTTTTTTTATTCGTACACAATTCTGTATTTGAAAGTATTTCTATTTGTCGATTGTTGTTTTTTATTCTATATCTTTTAAATAATTTGTACATTATAAGCATGCAGAGGCCCTTGTTAAAAATAGGATACGATGTCACATTTGTTTCTCAATAATTATGAATATGACAATGATGCAAGAAAAAATTATGTCAACTCAAATATAGACATCAGCACTACACAAACGCAAGCCATTGTTCCAAAACTTTACTCTCAAGGCAAGTTTAATTATATTATATATATTCAATTATACGTTCAAGGCAAGTGCAATTATATTATTTCTCTAATTCTATGGAAATTTATCCCTTTCCGAACCCATTGTATAAAACAATTTAATCAACGTGTGGTTGCCAGTGATCTCAGAAGATGATTGGATGAGTTTAAGGGTCATAACCTTTCTCAGCTCACTGGATGCATCAAAATATGCTAACTTTATGGAAAGTGGAAGGCACTCGAAGGGGATTTTAGTTTAGCAAAAAAGGAAAATTTATTTTTTAATCATTAGTGACATAGTTACTCGTGGATTATCGGATTTATCCAATCTCGGACAAGAGGCTCGGACTTTAAAATTGATAATTTAACTATCTCGATTGGATAAATCAAATAATACACTGACCAGTATCAATGTAAGAATCTATATATATATTTAATTATATTCATCATTGTCTCCGATTCTATCTAGAGTTCAGAGAAAAAAATGACAGCCGGGTTTACATTATCAATTTTTTCCTAGTTTACAAGAAACCAGTATGTCAACGATGTAGTTTAACCGTCGCTGGCGCTCTTACGTAGTTGGCCCACAGTTAGCCATTCATTGGACAAATACACAAACAAAGTACTTAGTGTATAAAACAGGGTCAAACTCGGTTTCTGAAACTATCAATATGTTTATCATTTTCAGATGTTTATCATTTTCTGATAGCAAACTCTTCTTTCTCTCTTGCAAATGAACTATTCATTTCTATATAAAACTTTGAATTAAGATAAAAAAAAAAAAAATGAACTCGGATGTTTTTCCCCCGTGTTCACTACTTCAGCACGTAAATGAATGCATAATAGGAAATTTTACAATTGAAAATTGAATGCCTCTTTTTTTCAATTTCATTAGGGTAAAAAAGAATTGAAGGAAGAACGTTTTGTATGAAGCACGGAAGCAATTTGTTCGTGTACTTTCTCGCATTGTTGACGTTGTCATGAGACGCACGCGCAGTCATGAATGTTGAATTATATTTTGCAATACCATTTGATTTTGGAATGCCTCGCGAATGCTTTCAGCTAATCAAAAGTATGAATTCTTATGAAACATACATGTAATGTAAAATTTTGTTGATAAAAAATTACCTCATCTATAAAACCAACAAAGTTACTGAATCCTTCACCATGACCTATTTGAAGTGCGCATTTTCTCTTCTCAATCTGACCTAAAAATATAAAAATGAAATGGTATTATTACTTTCATTTAAAATAGACAAGCTAACTCGTTAACTTAAATCAAAGTTTGCATACTATTTAACTACTAGCATTTTATTGAAGAAGTTCATTTTTTCTTACCACTAAAATGAATGTCAATTTTTTTTTTTCGCTCCGTTTTGAAGACCTCACTGTGACTTTGAGATTAAAACACCAATAAAAGCGCTGTTCCGTTGCCTCTTTGCGTGTTTTTTGCTGTGCATGTACTGATTTTGTGTCATGGATCGATACCACATATCCTTTGTTTTCCTACTATCTAGTTCATTTGATGTGCTTCTGTAAATCTGTAAAAAGTTTGTTTAATTTGCATTTCCTTGCTTTTTAATTGTGTGTTTTGTCTTTTGAGCTGCGTCCATCTGGTATCGGACATGTGTTGATCCAAATCATTCAAAATGGCAGTTCACTCCTTAGTTACGACATGATCTTGTATCACATGTTTTGCTTTGGTTTTTTTTTTCTTTGCTTGAGACATCACCGAAAACGAATTATCGCCGAAAATTTGGTTGTCATGATCACATGACGGGTGCCACTTATGGAGCAATTAGTAGCACTTGTTTTGGTGGGGTTCGTGTGGATTAATTTCAAATCATACTGTAAAGTTTCGCCGTTTTCCGAGCTGGTATTTTCTGTTTTTCTTCGTTTTGTGAATGATAATTGACCCCCTCCCGTCCCCCGTTATCCCTTCCTGCTGTTAAATATAAAGTATATAATGTTTTTACCTGACGCTATAACTGAGCTTGCCTCTCCGTTGACCCATCCATTCAATTTATTGTCAGTCACATAGTACACAACTTCTGTCCATTCAACTGACTACAAATAATTAGCAAACGTTTTAACAGAAACAAAAACATATTAGGGGTTGACAAGGGATGCTCATTATCCAAATCCTACTCTTTTTTAGTAATTTTTTCCAACTTCACGCTTGTTTTCTTCTTTTTCCCAGATCCCACTTTTTGTACCCCTTATATCCCACATCCCCATTTTTTTTACTCCCTATATCCCCATTTTTTTACTCCCTATATCCCCATTTTTGTTACTCCCTATATCCCCATTTTTTTTACTCCCTATATACCCATTTTTTTAAACCCTATATCCCCACTTTTTCACTTCCTATATCCCACACTCCAACCTTTTTACCCCTATACATCCTACATCTACACTTTATTACCCCGATATCTTATATCCCCACTTTTTATCCCTATATCCAACCAATCCCAAAAGCGTGTCACCCCCTCAAAGACACGTTATTGTCACCTTATTATAGCGTACAATTCTTAACATTTTTAAACAGAATAAAAAATAGACATGTGCATGTCCCATTATGCGGTTGAATAATTTCGTATCGTTAAAACTACAACAAAACAATGACTGAATCGAAAACAACTGCCTCGTATAAGTACATTTGCACTTACATGATTACTTGATTGACAATGTACATTTTTACCCTAAAGGTTAATATAATTTATTCATTAAACAAACATTCAAATAAGACAAATACATAGAAAATATAATATTCATCAAAATCTGTAACAAACAGCTATTCAAGTCTTCATTAATTCATATCTATTGTCTTAATATAATCGCGTTCAAATTTTGTAATATTTGCGGCTGGATATAAGCAATAAAAAAGTGCACAAACAAATCCTCCTTTATACGTACATGTTTTACTTATCTTTCAAATGTAGATCTTATTGACAGACATTGAACTATAATAGTGTTCATTTTCAAAAAAGTATTAACAAAAATAATTAAACTCCGAGGTAAATTCAAAAAGGGGAAAAAACCATAAAATCAACGTTAGGCCATATCAACCAAAGGAACGAATAAAAAAAAAACAATTCAACAACAATTCACACTGATATTAAAACCAAATATTATCATTTTTCTAAATTTGAAATTGACCATAGCTGTTAAAGTCATTGATGACTGACAGTATGAAATAATGGATTTTGCTTTCTTTGACATTTACACATATAAAAACTTCTATTATTTAATTGTCATTTTTCACAGTTGGGACGACATGTTAACAATAAATTTCACCATAAATGTCCACCATGATGACAATTGTAATGCAGAAATGATTTTTTTTTTTCATTTAGTTAAAACGGAGATCTTGACGATGCCTTGATTTAGATCTTATACATTCTTATTTAACTGGCTAATTTTTGTATTGATTTTACTAATTGGTGTACTATATATATCGGCATTATTCAAATTTGATGGACGTATACATGAATTTAGGACTGTTCCTGATTGTTTTCCATGTATTTTAATATTCACAAAATTTGATAAAGTGTCTTATATACTTATGAATGATATTCAGATATAGTTTTTTAAATTTTAATTATATATTGTCTTGTGTATTGCTAAATTATTTAGTAATCGGTATATTACTTATTTCAATCTTTTTTTAGGTGGTCTCCCCTTATATAACATGGACTTGTATCATTGGAGGGAGAATAAGGGAGGGGTTACGTATCGTTTATCGTTAAATTCTCCTTACTAATGACTAAATGTCACAGAAGCTTACAGAGAAGCTTCATAGTATATAAAGGTTTTGTGTATCCCTTTGTTTCGATTATTTTATGTACCGGTAGGAACACCTGGATTTGCCATGAATCACTGACTGGATTTCAATACACGTTTCATAATTTTTCCTTAAATAACAATTTTCTTAAGGACCTTTTTTTTATTGCTAAATTTGGATTTCCCAAAGATATTTTGAATCAACAACTTATCTGAGATGATTTAAATGAGACTTTTAAAAAATATCCTTATCGTCAAAATCCATAGTAGAAGTCAAAATGTATGTTTTAATCAGGACGATTTTATGGGAATTAACTCACATATTTATAGAAAACATTTGACTCTGCCATATATACATTGAATCAACAAAAGAGGAATGGAAGTGGGCGTCTGCTAACAACTTTTGTAGTTTTGTCCCAGGCTCTCCAAACTTAAGGACTTGACTTAAATTGATTGCGCAATGAAATAAAGAAATGTGACTTTCAAATTACAAAACTGTGTCAGTAGAATAGCGTAAATTAATTACTTATTAACCTACTTACCGACCTTAATCTACATAATAAACTATTCAATTATGAAACGTGCTCGTACAGAACTATCTGACATTTTTAAGTTGTAAATCCTCCCTAGTACCCTAACACACTCAGGATTCATTAATTAGTGTCATCTTCGGAGAAAAATAAAATGACATAAGTTCACGTCCTCGTTTTTGACACCTACTTAAACGGAACCTTACGTCAGTCAATTGACGTATTTTATATGTTCTGTGTTGTTGTTAATAAATTACCCTGTACATTTTAATTAACAAATAGTTTATTTGTAAAATTAAAAAAAAAGAAGGTTTTTTTTGCAATTTTTTGTTTTATCATCTCACATGACATGCACTTTAACTTTAAAAGTTGTTACATGGAGTCAGTACAGATAAATGAATGGCGCTCATAACCCGTATCAAGACCTTTTGAAAGAGTTTTAGAACGTCATTTAATTTTGAAAATACCACACTAGCATAGTACCGCTGGGTCGGCAAGGGGTGTATATGTCATTTTAAAATCAACTTCTACGCACTGCACCATCAATGCAAACCGATCGTTATAGGGTATTTGTTAATAGATTTCTATGTCCGGTATAGTCTGTTGTATGTCTATATTTGCACATACATTGTATGTATAGTGATCGACATACTTTGTATAGAAAATCTAAAGATTTCGCTCAATTTGGTGATACCGGCTGTCTTGGAAATAGAATTGGGAAGCTTTGACCTTACAGTGGCATTCAAATATAGAAAAAAAGTTTATGACACAACTATTGTATAAACTTACTGGTTTTTTTATACGTAGTTCCTTAGGTCCTTCTTCACCATCTGTTTTAAGACCAAACTCCACATTGTTGTCGTTTATCGTCAATCGAACAGACCCAAGATCACCACAGTCGCCATTGTTGATAATGCTCTGCCTCAACCCATGACCAGGATATATCTTGGTTTCTTTAAATCTAATCCGAAATCCAAAATTATTTCCAAGTTCAGCGTTTGTAAATTGCGGAATAACCAGTCGAGCACTTCCGTTGAAATATGCTACCCCGTCTGTGACTTTTACATTTTCATTTTTGACAAATACGTCATTTCCGGAACTATCACTGATGTGTTTTGTAAACTCTAAAAACATCAGAGACTTGCATGCTGTAAAGATATGGAAGACATGCATCAAAAAGAATATTTTTATATTAATGCAAGACTTCGGTAATGTTCAATGAAAGAAAAACGTTCTCTAATTGAATTTCAGTTTCCTCCTAAAAACCTGCAGTTATGCTTTATATAAAAAAGAAGATGTGGTATGATTGCCAATGAGACAACTCTCCACAAGAGACGAAATGACACAGTCAGCTATAAAAGGCCCCGAAATAACAATGTAAAACAATTCAAACGAGAAAACTAACGGCTTAATTTATGTACAAAAAATGAACGAAAAACAAATATGTAACACATAAACAAACGACAACCACTGAATTACAGGCTCCTGACTTGGGACAGGCACATACATACAGAATGTGGCGGGGTTAAACATGTTAGTCAAGCATTTAGATTCTCTTCGTTCATCCTTTGTACCCAGTATTAGTGTTTCCATTTGTACAGTTATTCTGCATGATAATTTACTTTTGTGCTGAACATTTATAATATATGTGCCACTGCACGTAAAACAAACAAAAAATTATTAATCATTTTTAATTTACCTTGTGGGAGATTTTTACTAGACGTTGTCAACGAGCAGGAACATTCTGCAGGGTTGAACTGTGTTCCAGCGGCACAATGCATCTTGACCCAGCCGTGACCAGGAACCAGTTGTTCAAACATGGCGGGATCACGCGAATGGATACGCTTGTCACACCCTACAAATACAAAAATACACCGCGTTTAAATAGACTATTGAAAGTAATTGTCTGATTCCAAATCAACGGTAGTAGTTTCACTTTATTCGAATAGTTCATGTATGCAATATTTTTAACAAAATAATAGAAACCAATAAGATTTTGACGAACATGTAATTTGGTCTTTGTCTGTTCGTTCAGTTGCTGTCTTATTGAAATACCAACGTCTCTTATTGATAGATTATTTTATATTTAACGCCACTTTCAGCACTTTTGGCTATTTCGTGGCGAGCAGTTTCTTTATTGAAGGAAGCTGGGATGTCCGGAGAGAACAACCGACCTTTGGCAGGAAAACTGGCAATCCTAGTCAATTAAGACTGGAATCGAACGCACCTGCCATGTGCAGGATTCAACTCTCAACCTCAGTGTTGACAGGCTAGTGATACAGTAGATGGACTACTTGATCCACTCTACCACCGAATCCATTTGTAATTTTGTAAGGAAGTATGCTAGATAAGAGTGATTATGTTTGTTTACAATACCAACATAGTTTCTTAGTACACCTGTATTGTAAGATCATGGTTAATATCATTTACCTGAATATTTCGAAACATTGTCTAATTGGCGTTCATCCTTGTATGCGAGATAAAAACATTGGTGATTTACCTGAATATTTAGGAACATTGTCCGATTGGCATTCATCTTGACAACTGTAATCTCGAACACAGCCGACATTGGACAGATACGCATGACCTTGAGGACAACACATCGGCACAGAATAACCTTGACATTCCCAATAAGCTCTACAAGATGATTTAGCTGCATACGTTTCAAACCGGACATTCAAACACGGATCTGCAAATAGAAAAGTTCTAAATATAACAAATACTGCATGGGAAAATATTAAGATTTACTATGTGGTTAAAAGATCCGCTTGAACTATTTATTTTTGTATTTTTTTATATCTAAAACGTCACTTTCCTAGTTGATTCAAACCGGACATTCAAGCACGGATCTGCAAACCGGAAAGTTCTGGAAAGTATTTGGATTTATTATCTGGTTAATGGATTCGCTTGAAATATCTATTTTCTTATTAAACAATGCCTCTTTCCCAGTAGATTCAAACAATTAAAATAATAATTTTTGAATAAGTTAAAAAAAACAAATAGTGACTTTCAAACTATGTTAATGTAAAAACATGAAAATATTTTTTGAGTAGGAGTAATTGAGAGTTTGAACTATTGAATAAACATTTGTCTTTTAGGAAGATCATAAATTGACCTTTAAGACGACTCTTGATTTTTGTGATGTTGGGTTACTGCATATGTTTACACCCCATCTCTTGCTCTTCATATTTGATAATAACCTTATCTGAATCTGATGTTCAGTAGTTGTCGTTTGTTGATGTGGTTCATAAGTGTTTCTCGTTTCTCGTTTTTTATATAGATTAGACCGTTGGTTTTCCCGTTTGAAAACTAGTAATTTTTGGGGCCCTTTATAGCTTGCTGTTCGGTGTGAGCCAAGGCTCCGTGTTGAAAACCATACTTTGACCTATAATGGTTTACTTTTATAAATTTTGACTTGGACGGAGAGTTGTCTCATTGGCACTCATACCACATCTTCTTATATCTATTTACACCTCTCAATGTGTTCTGGTACTTATACATCCCTGGCTAATATTTTCTTGGTTGAGCGTTCCTGCTGAAGGTGAATCCAGAAAAGCGATTCGAACACAGCAAATTAGATTTGTCTTTTGCAATTCATAGATTTACTAAATCATATATAGCAAATTAATAAAGTTTCGTATTAAGTAACGTCATCGCTAATTTGAATACACCGAAGAAGTATATGCAATATTATGTGAATTACCCGAGGCCCCCAAAATAGTATAATTTAAGAAATCTGCTACATTTTGAGGACGGTCTTTAAGATACATACCGTTTTTACACATTGCATGTTTTGGTGGTTGACAGGACAGAATGTCCTGGTTCCAATGTTGTCCCCACGGACAGTTTCTATAGAATGCTGTCAATAAACCTTCTTTATCGAACAAACACTGAGTATATTTATCACAGTCTGTAGGATGGCTGTTATAACCGGCTCCATTCTCCATTTTACAACCAGTACATGCACCTTAAAAAACAAACAATTCTTTATGTGCTTGTCCCAAGTCAGGGGCCTGTAATTCAGTGGTTGCCGTTTGTTGCTGTTTTATATATCATATTTGCTTTTCGTTTTTTGTTTTGTAAAGAAATCAGCCGTTTGTTTTCTCGTTTGAATTGTTTTACAATTGCAATTTCGGACCTTTTATAGCTTACTTTGCGGTATAAGTTTTGCTCATTGTCGAAGGCCGTACGGTGACCTATAGTTGTTAAATTCTACGGCATTTGGTCTCGGGTGGATAGTTGTCCCATTAGCAATCATGCCACATCGTCTTTTTTTTTATACATAAAAACATCTGACAATATTTCGATATTTGTTATTACGATATAAATGTAAAGAGAATATAGTGTATATACAATGTATGCCTTTATAACATCACCACCATATCAGCCTGAGACCTCAATATAATCCCGGGAGCTTTTTGTGTACTCTTTAAAGTCGTATGATGCTTCAAATACATAACGTTTCATTTAATTGAAAGGCTTAGTTTGACTTCCCGTACCCTAATTCGCGGACAGCTTTTCCGTATGCAGTATCCTTACCGGGACACCCCACGTTAGAATTTCGATAATCGTCTAGCGCATACCACGTGCGAAGGGAAACTGTTGTATTATAACGGCGGTGTCTTATCCTTCGGAAAAGAATCAATATTGAGAGATTATAAAGCATTTTATTATTTTGCCAATATTGAACCCATTATGACAGAACAATTGGCTACTGGACATTATACTAATTTTAAATCTGGTAGTTTGTTTTGTGCTTTTTTTAACGTAAATTCATTCTGTTTTGCTTAATAAATTATGTGTACTTCCTTACATGTTTGGAGCTTAATCTCTGGATATGCCGTATAGGACACTCAAAATACATTATAAAATTATAGCCTTTGTATGAGGTCGATACGAGGTTATATCGACCTAAGAGAAACATATTGACTAAGGACGAAGTCCGAGGTCGATATGCTTCTCTATGTCGATATACCATCGTACTGAATTCAACCAAGGGCTACAACTGTTAATTATTAATCAACAACTATTGCAAGAACAATGTAAAATTGGGGATTTCTAGAAATATATTTTTAGCAACATGCTGTATGCCCTGTGCAATATGCTGTTTTTGACCTACGAAAAGCTGAACACAACAGTATTCATACCTTGAGCAGCAATCGTTTCTAAAGGCGTAATTCTCCTATCACTCATGGCTAAATTAGCAAGATAATTGTCTTGTACCATATCTGACGAAATAACTGGTAATTGCACTGGTACACCGACCGCAGAAGATCTTTTATTTGGAGTAGATTTTGTCGGAGATGCCACCAAAGGTTCATGACTTGCTACGAATGATTTGATAGTCGAATCAAATGAATTCACTGTTAATCCATTGAGAAAAGGCCATTGTGTTGTTGCAATTACAGAAGGCTTGTGAAAGATTCTGCTTTCCTCGCGTGTTCTATCTATTGATTGTTTGCTGAATGGAGAATCATTTTGCACATTTAGAAATATCTCTCCGTTTTGTCTTGCTCGAACAGAAATAGTTTTCTTAGAACTATTTCTACCTATAATGTCTCTATATGTAGGTGTTACTATTGTATAAATTTCAGATAAAGGTCTGAATTCGACAGTAGCAGGCTTGTATTCTTTTGTGATTGTATATTGAGGGTCAAGCATACTTGTGCCAGGAGTTGTGGTCACGTGTTTAAAGATTTGTTTTAAGTCGTTACGAAATACTTCCTCAGCTTTTTCTATCGGCGGTAAATATTGTACACCAGTATCTTTATTTTCCTCTTTATCAAAAACAGTCAAGCCACCTGATTCTGGCGTTTTTCCGTTACTTAGGTTTTTACGGACATCTTTTGGAAGCGAAATCAATGATGATCCTGGTGACATTTTACCAACTGTTATATTATTAGGCACAGCCGTTGTCGTTGGTATCACCACAGCAATATTTCCCTGTACAGTTTTTATTTCATATATGTTTTTACCCCAACTAGATTCCGCTGATGTGTGGCTAGTAGATGATTCGGAAACAGTAGTTTCCGAACTTACTGTTTCCGAACTGGTGCTTACATGTGATCCAGTAGTAATATGAGGTGTAAAAGTGTCACTTTTGTCTATTAAAGGATTGCTGTCCTGTTCCTCTAAGGCTTTTTGTGGCGAGTTGGTTTGTTGAATAGGATCGAACCTGTTAACAGGAAGATCTATAATTTCAGCATTTAAATTGTTCTTTGATTTTTCATCGCTTAAACCTGAATTTTTATTGTTTAGCTTTTTATGCGAATCATCGTCATTTGAATAGGTGTTTATGGTTGCCACTTCCTGTTGCATCTGCGTTGAGAGTAAATTCAGAAGCGATGGTGTTGAGACTACATGTGGCAGAGTTGATGTCGAAGCAGATGACGTCCTAGAATTTAGAATTTTCGATTTCGCAATTTGCTGATGTAGCCAACCTTTTAAAGCTGGTCTCGGTGTCAATAAAGTTGCAGCATTGTGCTTTGGAAAAGTATTTCTTTGAAACCAGTTATTATTTAGGCCTACAAGGAAAATAATCATAAAAAAATATTCATAATATACATAAAGCTTTTCGCAATATAAATGATATACAACACATTTATAGATTAAAGTCACACAAAGAAAATGTATGGATTATTTCTTAGACCAAAATATCTGATTACTGCGTTGAAGACAGAATACATAGGGTCCAGCGACACATATAACACGAGTATGCATATTATTGACTAGGGAAAAATATTAATACTTTATTTCATGTAGTTTTTACTGAGGAATGCAATTTGTCTAGCTATATAATAGATATGGGCGTATCAGCATGCACAATAAAATGGTGGCGAAGCCACTCATATATATTTTTGGGATATTGCAATAGTTTTGAAGTTATTGAAGCTATATGTATCATAGTTTTGACAAATAAATTGTTCTAGTAAATCAAAATATGGCATATGATCAACGAAAATAAGGCGTCATTTAGTATGGCAGCAAATCAACCGATTATATGTCCCTATTTCGTGCCTCAAATCGTGTCTTTGCCCGAGAGAGCTGCGTAATTTTGAACTTTAAAATACTGACAAACATGTCAACTCAAATCAATCAACTACTAGTAGATTATTTATTCTCCAATTTGCAGTGGCAAATAGTGTATTCCTGGAGAGAATCGAAACCAAGTTTACCAATAATTTTTTCAAAGGGAAAAAAGGAGGGGGGGGGGACATTTGCTGAAAAACAACTGAAAAAAAGAAGGTATTGTTGATTGTTGTAGAATATTTGCGTTGCTATCAAGTCTCCAACGGACCGCGAGGTACGATTTACTTCTATATACATGACAACTCGAGGAGCTATAAGACCGCATACGACACAGTTTTGATCCCACGTTGTTTTTTTAACGAAAATTTGCATACAAGCTATTTTTTATCTAGTCAATTCTAATATGTAATAAAAAAAAATATACCTCCATGTGCTACTTTAAGAAATAAATGGGGTCGAAATTTTTGACATTTACTCAGAATTTGTTTGTTTTTGTTTTGACATTTCTATCCTTTGGAAAAACATACATAACTTTTTTTGTTTCAAAAGATAAACATAAGCGGATTTTTGTAAAAACATTTGGAAAATCTTCTTTCCATAAGTATGCTCTAAATTTGTATAAAAATTCTTTGGGAATAATTTTTTTTATCAAAGTTTCATGATTGTAGAAAAAAACGGCTTTTTTGCTGTACATTTATCTAATTTAAAAAAATTTCATCGGTGACTTTTTCATAAAAATTGATACAAATAATCTTCATACGTAATCAATCCTAATGTCATTTTAAAAAAGAGGGATCCATGAACTCGTTCTCAAGTTAAGTCAGTCTGAATAATAATAATCAGTCGAAAAATGCATCTTTTCCAGATATGTCACAGTTTGACGTCGCGAAAATAATATTTTACGTTAGCAACGTCATTACCTCCCCTGTACCTGTATCGTATGTCCTTGACCCTGCAGAAAGAGAGAGAGAGAGTAGACATTCTAATTTGTGTGACTCCTGATTTAACGTCCTTTATTGTTCAGTTGTATGGCAAATGTCCCCTCTTTGCAGAAACTATTGTTTAATTTTTATTTTATTCTCTCTATTCATGAACTATTTGCTACTGAAAGTTTGAATCATGTCTCAGTTTATCTGTTTTCCTAACTTGCCAAAAGACGACGGTTTTGCAGTTTAGTAATTTGATACATATTCAAATTAGATAAAACGCATGTAATTGGTCACACAATCATTTAAACTTGAATCTCAATTTATCTTTACAAATTTTAATAGGTCTTTTTTGAAGAAGATTGCTAACAATACAAAGCTATAGAAATTGTATATCACAAATTATGTTAATTATCTTTAGTAAAATTCTTAATTTTGTAGTATTGTATTCCTATTAATAAATAAAATAAACAAACAGAGTGGTGTTTTATTCTATCGTATGGTTAAATTGACATTAACGATAAATATTTCATTATAAATATGTCTTTCAACAAATATGATTTCTTAATGAATAAAGCGAGGGACAGTTGGACCAGCAGACCATAGTTGTTGAATTAATAATACGATCGTAAAATTATCATAAATATCTTTGACTTTGTATCTTACATATTTGCGGTCAAAACCTACAAGTACATTCTGTAGACAAAATACCTACGATCTACAAGAATATTGCAATGAATGTAACCTATATGGATAAAACATTCAACTGAAAATCACCAATTATTTTTAAAGCGATGGCGGATTCAGGGTTATAGGAAAGAAGGGGGGAGATTAATAGTGACAATGATAAAACACTATGTTTTTGACGATCAAACAGGGGCGTACGCCCTCTACTAGTAGTAAGAAACAAAGGTGCAACGCCGATTCGTATTAAATAATTTTGTATCCTCTTAATTATATCTAAAAATAAAAAGATGTGGTATGATTGTCAATGAGACAACTCTCTACG